GGTCATGATCTCACGGTTCATGGTTTCGAGCCCCACGTCAGGCTCTGTGCTGACAGCTAGCTCAGAGCCTGGAGCATGCCTCTGATTCTGTGTCTCCCTCTCTCTCTACCTTCCCCTGCTCACGCTGTCTGTCTCTCTCTCAGAAATAAATAAAACATTAAAGAAAAATTTTTTTAGTAAAAAAAATAAAGTTCTACTTTCTGTCCTTGAGTTGGTTGCTTTTTTTTCTTTTTTACAGTTTATTTATTTATTTTGAGAGAGAGAGGGAGAGAGAGCATGCGGGGGACAGGGAGGGACAGAGAGACAGGAAGAGGGAGAGAGAATCCCAAGCAGGCTCTGTGCTGTTAGCGAAGAGCCTGTCTTAGGGCTTGATCTCACTAACCGTGAGATCATGACCTGAGCCGAGACCAAGAGTCAGACGCTTAACCCAATGAACCACCCAGATGCCCCAGTTGCCTTTTTTTTTTTTCTTTCTTTCCCACTTACCCCAAGCCATTCTCCCTTCCATTGCGGTTTACATTCCAGCTCTCTGGAAGAGAATTTATTTAGGTTGTCCTGACAAGGAGTGAGAAGAAAAATTCAGGTCAATTAACAGAAAACCAAACTGGCAGCACCTCAAATCGATAGGGTTTTGTTATTTTTTCCCCTAGAACAAGAGTCCAGAGAAAGGTGGTTGCCGACATTGGGCCAGCAGCTTAATACTAACACTGACTCCTCAGGCTTTCTTTCTGTTCTTCTGGTTTTGGCCGTTGGCTTTTTTATCCTCAGTCATGTTGCTTCATGGTTGCAAAAGGACTACTGTATCATGAGTCTACAGTTAAGGCAGGAAGACTGGAGAAGGGTCAAGGCTAGCAAGTTCTCCTATTGCACCCATCACATGCTCACACTCACACACAAAGACTTCTGCTTATGTCTTATTGACCAGAACTGTGTCATATGACTACACATAGCTGCCACGAAGGTTGGGAAAGTGAGTACTGAGTTTTTATAGCCTCTGTAGTGAGACGGCAGCGAGGTAGAAGGATATTGAGAACGTTATTAGCACTCAGCTAGTGAATAACGTCTACCACAGTCACCATCTTACGGGTGGCGTCTCTTAGGCAATGCTTCAAGACAAGCCATCTACTAGGAGACTTTTCAGTCTATGGATAACTGTCTTTGAGTCAGGGGTTCATACGAGAGGATTCGATGTCAGCATGGCAGGCTTCCTTGGAAGGGGGCTGTGTGCAGGGCAAAAACAAATAGTACTTTGGTACCAGTATGATATACAGATGTGTCTAAATTCTCGTCAGTGACCCAATTATAGCTTAATCAACCATAAGTTTAACTGGATCTGCCACAATCCCACATCCGTTCACAAGCTTGTTTTGTTCATTCATGTATTTATTCACTAAATATTAGTAATAATGATAGGTACTTGTCTTGGTACAGTGGATGTGGTGGTGAAGAAAATAAGGAGCTTACTTTCTAGTGGAAGAGAGAGAATTTATACTCTAATAACCTCGTTGCTCTCTTTGGCAATGATGACTGCAATTTCAGTACTTATGTATTTGGGGATATATACACACACATATAGGTGGTAATAAGTGCTATTGTGAAAAACATAAGTAAGGGTCTGTATAGAGGCAATGGTAAAGTGAGAGGGTAGGGAAGTGTTAGCTATAATTTATAGAATAATTAGAATTCAGTACTAACTACTTTAGACACAAAGTTTACAATTTGTGGGCTTCAAAGGGAAATTGGCAGAACTTTCTGCTCTAGAGGAAAAAAGGAAGGAAATTACACAGTGCCTGCTGGGAGCCCAAAGTGCATAGCTTGTTTGCACATGTACTCTCTGTTCTCATTAGATCATAGTGCTAGTATCCTAAATTATTTTATTTGGACTATTAATTTCCTGTTTTGAGTGTGGCCTATACAATGCAGCCTTAGCTTCTGAGTGGCACTTCAGTTCAAGCTTGGCTTTCGAAATCTCCATCCCTTACCCTCCATTGGTGTTTTTGTTTGCTTGTTTGCTTGTTTTTTTTGGCTTTAAAATCTCACCAGAGGATATAGTGAGGACTAACATATCCTTGGATAGTCTCCAGTCCTTAGACATAAGATTTTTACCAAGGAAACTGGCACTGCTCATTTACCTTCTGTGTGGCTATATAAAATTTATACACTGGGTTTTAAAATGTATTTTACTGATCATCCTCCTACCTCTTTTACTAGCCTGTGAGTCTTTATCCCCCAGTTTTGTCCAAATGAATTCCCTCTTATCCTTCAGGTCATTTATTGTAACTGCCTTAAGAATTTCCTTAAAACTTCGACTAAAGTAAGTTTCTGTTTACTCACCTGTAAATCCACTGGTGTTCCTGATAAGGATGACCCCAATTTTAGTACTTATTTACATAATAGTTTGATTAATGTCTGTTCAATTCCTCATAGACTGTAAGCACCATGGGCTGGGGCATATTGGTCTTATTCAGGTCTGTATCTCGAGGCATAACAGGGTTTGCATAGACATAAAGGTACTCAATAATATTTAATGAATTAATAAATTAATAAATGTCCTTAGTTTCCAAGGGACTAGCAAGCTGCCTCAGAAAGATAGGTACTATGGTGGATGCTGACTGTGAAGCTCTGTCCATATCCCCCTTTAGGGACAGAAGACAGCCCCATCCCCTCCTTGCTGCTGGTAGTAGTGCTGGCAAAACCCTTTAACTGTCAACACTCTTTGGATAATGCCTCAGTTAAAGAAATGGACAAGCTCAAATCATGTCCCCCTCCAGGGGTGGTGTGTATCCAATGACCAATCAATGTTGGGAGTTGAAGGCCTAGCCACTCATATCAACTCATGATACCTCCCTCTAAATGGCCATCCTAGCTCCAAGAGGTCACCTGAAGCCTTTGTTAGGATGACACACAGATCAGTCTCTCCCTCTGCTCCATTGTTTCCCCTCCCTCACTTTCACAGAGGTTTATCCCAACAGCACACAACAGCATGTATTGCGTACTAATCTTCCCTGCAGAGTCCATTTCATGGATAGCCCAACTAGGGATGGCTACTAAAAAATATTTACTGAACTGAATTGATTACGTGTTGTCCTACTCCATAAACTCCTACACAGCAAATTTCAGTTCTTACTCATCCTTGCATTCTTGCAATGACTAGGTGCCTTTCATATACTGAGTGCTAACATTTGAATGTTTGTGTCCCCTTCCCCCAAATTCATATGTGGAAATTCTAACTCCCAAAGGGGACGGTATTAGGAGATGTGGCCTTTGGGAGGTGCCTAAGTCAGGATGGAAACATCATGAATGGGATTAGCACCCTTATAATAGCAGCTCCAGAGAGCTCCCTCCCTCTCCCATTATGTGAGGGCACAACTAGAAGTCTCTAACCCAGAAGAGTGTCTCATAATGCTGGCACTTTGATCTTTGACTTCACACCTCCATAATGTGAGAAGTAAAATTCTGCTGCTGATAAGCTACTCAGTCTGTGGTGTTTTTGTTAAAGCAGCCCAAACAGACTAAGACATCTTATTCCCCCAAGCAAAATATTCCCCCAAACTTAGTCCAGATGGAGCTAAAGCATTCCTGTTCAAAGTATGGTCTTAGAGCCAGTGGCCCTGGCATTCTGTGTGTATTCCGTTAACAAATGCAGAATCTCCAGGCCCAACTGAATCAGACTAATTAAATCAATCTGCATTTTAACGAGATCCTCAAGTGGTTCCTATGTTCCTTGAAGTTTCAGAAGTTTCAGGGCTAAGGTGTTTATTAATATAAACAAAACGATCCTGTTGGTAATTCCTCTCTAGTTTGTACAGCATCTTAAGTTTTTTTCTCTCTAAAAGAGTAGTAATGCTAGCATAATCATGCATTCTTTCACTCAACAAACACCAACCAAATGCCAAATACTTCAGGCTGTACCAACCAAATGCCAAATACTTCAGGCTGATGGAGCTTACATTCTAAGAGGAGAAAATAAACATCAATATAGGAGAAATGCAGAGTAATAATAGGTGATGTGGTCAGAGAGGAAAGAAGGCGGATCACACGATGAGAGGCTGCTTAAGAAATCGCTATGTGATATGTAATTGCTGAAAAGATAACCAGTTGTTTTTCCTCCAAGGATAAAGTAGTTCTAGGCCAAGCCAATTCGATATGGGCTGTCTACACAAACCATTTCTCCACTGAAGCTTTAGCTTCCTCGTATAGAAATGCAAGGATTAGAGAAGGCATTTAAGGCTCTTTGTGTTCCAAACTCTCAGGCTTCCAGACGCCTTGATAGTGAAGTCTACCAGGGTAAAGTTAGGATTGTGGCTGGGTTGTGGCCTCAGGGAAAGTTCTGCAACCCCAGAACTCTGCAAAAACCGGAAGAATAATCGCGGAAGGTGTTGCCGAATCGAAAGAACGTAACCTTTGGACCCAAGTTCCTCACAAACCTGTGCTCCTTTGTCACGACCACAAACTTTCATGCCCTTAAGGCCCTGCGTTCTTGGAACCTGCCTCTTCCTGCCTTCCGGTCCTAGGCTCTTAGCCAACGCCCCATTAGGCACTAGGGGTCCTGCCTTCCCGCTAAAGTCCTGGTCCCCAGAACCCAGTCAGCATCGTGGTCCCGTCCCCAATGCCCCGCCCCGCCCCTCGCCCCGCCTCCCGCCTCCCCACCCTGCCTCCGACTGCCCGCCCCAGTCCCACTGCCCCGCCCACGCCCGGCTTCACCCGCTACTTGTCTGCCGGGTGCACTCCTGGCGTCGCATCCCTGATCCCACCTCCCTTCCCACGGCCCAGTTCCCCCGCCCCGGTCCCTCCTTCCCGCCCTATCCCGCTGCCTGACCCACTCCTGGTGGCCCCGCCCTGGCCCCGCCTCCCCGCTCTGGCCCCGCCTCCCCGCTCTGGCCCCGCCTCCCCGCTCTGGCCCCGCCTCCCTGCTCTGGCCCCGCCTCCCTGCTCTGGCCCCGCCTCCCCGCTCTGGCCCCGCCTCCCCGCTCTGGCCCCGCCTCCCTGCTCTGGCTCCTCCATTGCTTGCGGGTCCAGCCCCCGGTTGGAGCGCTTGTCCTGTGGTCCGGAAGTGACGCGAGGATAGGGTTGCAGGCTGGACGCCCTGTTCTCAGGGCCGCACCCCGAGGCACCCCCGAGCAGCATGGCTCTCCTCCTCCTGCTCGTCCTCGTCTTCCAGGCGGAGAGCGGGGCTGAGATTAACGCCGCAGATCTGGAGATGTCTTCGGGTACGTGGCTTTCGGAAGGGAGGCGGCCGGGGGGGGCGGGGGGGGGCGGAGGGGACCGACGAAGGAGTCTGGAAGCACGCCCCGCGCGGCCGCGTCCTGCTTCATCCCAGGTCTCGCACCGCGTTCCCGGTCGCCCCGGCACGTCTTCGCGACAGCCGAGAAGGCCACGCCGGTCTTTGCCGTCCGCAGACTTAAGTTCCCTTTTTCTCTCCTCTTCCTTTGTCGCCGACATGTAAAAACACGCCTCTCGGTCCTCCAGTTCTTTTAATTCGTTTTTAAATAAGCGAGTTTCCCGGTCAGCATTTTGTACACGGTGGCCAGCGCTCGTGACTTAAATATTCTTAGGGTGGACCCAGAATCCTTAAGAGAGAATTGTTCTTTCTCCGACTGAGGATCATTAAGTGGCAGTGATTGGCCATCTTACGGGTACGAGGTCTGGAAGTCGTGTAGTACGCGGACTGAGGAGTGGATTTGTCAGGCTGTGCGTCTCTTCGCTTAGCTTCGTTCCTCCGCCCATTTTATTTCCGCCTGCTCACTGAGACTTCTCCAGAAATAAGTGCTGGGAATACGCTTTCCAAAGCTCGGCGTCATGGTGATTGGGAGCTCCAGTGAAATCAGCGAATCTTTCCTGCAAGAGGGTTAAACCTAAACTATCAGAAGCTCCATCAGTCTAGAGTGTCTGTTCAGTGCCCGCAGTTAGCAGCTGCCTGGAAGGGGTCAGAGAGACCCACCCTCCTGCCCCCTTGGCAAACTCTGGGCCGCAACCTCTGTGTTATGACTTCCTCTGTGAGCTCCTGTTAAGGTGTGCTGCATTCACGCAGCTGTCCTCCGGACTGCTCTTTAAGAATCAAACAAACAGAGTCATTCCTTGGGACAGGCATTGTTCCAGACTTGGGGAATACAAAAATGGGAGTTCTGGGTTTCTGCTTTCAAGGATCATTACATAGCCAACAGTTAATAAGTGCTAGGCACCGTTGTTAATTTCTCATCCCAGCCCATTTTCACAACAATCGTATGAAATGGGTGCTCTTGGCATCTCCATTTATGGATGAGCAATCAAGGCACAAAGAGGTCTGCCCAACTTGTAGAGAGGTCACTGCTACTCACTAGGGAGCTTGGCAGTTGGGCTCCAGAGTCCAAGTTCTTAACCATTCTGCAAACCGCCATTACTTAGGGCAGCTTAGTTGTCTACAAGGACAGTTGCCATATATTGTGGTGAGAGCCCAGACTTTCACCCAGGTGACTGGAAAGCAAGATAGGATACCTGACTCTGACTAGGGGATTCAGGGAAGACTTCACAGAGGAGGATCACCCCAGAGTTGGAGCTGGAGGTACAGAGAGACTTGTGTGCAGAGGGAGAAGTGTGAAACAGCATGTTGAATTAGCGGAATACTAAGGGTTATCATTGTGGAATAGGTAAGGGGAGATGCAAGGCAGGTTAAGACAGGTAGAGAGGTAGGAACCAGATATTGAGTGCATTGTCACGGGTAACAGACAGCAACATAGCGTTGGCTAACCGAGGCAGAAAGAAGAATTTTTTGGCTTAGAGAATCCAGGCAACAGTTATAAAGGTGTAGATGCCATCTGGGCCTCAGAGAGCTGAACCAGTCACTCAAAAGTGCCAAGACACTCTTTTTCTTATTCCTGACTCTGGATGTGGACAGCTTTTCCTACTTGGCAGGAATCATGGATGTTGACAACTTTTGAGTTTTGACATCTTGCAGCCTCCACTTCTCTTAACAAACTCCCAGTGGAAGGCTCTGATTTGCCCAGCTTGGGGCAGGCGCCAGCTGGCATGGGAAGGACCATGTTGCAGAGGCTGGTGGTGGTGGGGGGGGGGAGTTCCCAGAAGAGAAATAATGTTCCTGAAGGAAGTATTGGTGCTGAGCCAACAAAATAATATGCTCACTGTACCTTGCTCAAGTGGGCAGTCACTGGATTATTTTAAGAAGACAGATGATTTTCTGCAGGATCAGTTAAGCCCATTTAGAAAGACCATCTTCCACAGTAGTTTGGGGGTCGACTCAAAAGAGGGAGGCCAGTTAGGCCCCTGCTTGGGAGGAATCGATGAAAATGGCAGTTTAAATGGAGAAGAGAAGAGAGTTTGAAAAACGTTTAAAAGTCAGGATTCCTGATGTAGGTGGAACACAGAATTATGTGCCACGCCTGTCTGAGTCCTGCGCCTCCTGAGCCAGGTACCCTATCTCGCTTTCCAGCCGCCTGGGTGAAAGTCCAGACTCTCAACACAATACATGGCAACTATCCTTGTACACAGCTAAGCTGCCCTAAGTAATGGCATTTTGCAGAGTGATTAATTAAGAACTTGGACCCTGGAGCCCGGCTGCCGAGCTCCCTACTGGGTAGCAGTGACCTCTGTACAGTTGGGCAGACCTCCCTGTGCCTTGATTTCTCATCCATAAATGGAGATGCCAAGAGCACCTACGTCATATGGTTGTCGTGAAAATAGGATGGGATGAGAAGTTAACAACAGTACCCCGCACTTACTAACTGTGAGCTATCAGTCATGATCCTTGAAAGCAGAAACTGAGTGATTTTCGCATTTTTGTATTCTAACACCTGGAACAATGTGGGGCCCCTTGTGGTTACACAATTTGCGTATCCTTGAAGCCAGCCCTGGGAGTATTGGCCCTCTGCGTCCAAAGGAACATCTCCTCCTATGGCCTCCTGTACTCCCGACATTTTGTAAACACTAGTGCCAGTGCCAGTCCCCTCCCCGACTCTTCTTTTTTCAGTGCGTTTTCAGTACATTTGCCTGGGTTTTTTCAGTGTGTTTCTCTAGTTTGCGTTATGTTCCTTAGGCTTTTAAAATTAGTTTAGAAGGTAGTCTCCAGGGATTAGGAGGAAAACCCATAAGGACAACCTGCTCCTGGCTCTCGGCTAACTTCCTAGTCTCACCAGTGCCTGACACTTACTAAACACTCAGTGTGTTTACTCTTACCTTGTTGGGTTTCACTGGTTATTTGGTAATTCATCTTAGAGGAGGCAATCTGGTAAGAACGGGGCACCAGGCAAGAGAATATAGCCGGTCTCTGCAAAATCTAAGTGATTGGGAATGTATTGTGTTACAGTTCTGGGCTTTTGTTAATATTTCTTAGGGAATGGATAGGGAGAATCAACCCATGTGTGCTGTCTAATAATCAGTGGTATTTTGCTTTTCATACGGTTTTACTTATAAAAGTAGTGTATGTATTTTGAAGTGACTCAGCATCTCCCTTCCAGTAGCTTGCTCTCCCACTCTGGATATTACCTAAAGAGCGCACTGTACTTTCACACAGATGCGGGGCTCTTAACTTACCTTCTCCAGCTGAGAAAGTAGAGAAAGTCTCTTTTCTGACTTTAGGGTAAAGTTCTGGGTGTGCTTCAATTTTTCATGATTTTCTTTGGATCCTATATTTATTTATTTCAGAGATTCATAATACTTAAGACAGCACTTTAATTTCGTGAACAGGGTAATAATTTTCTTTTTCAATTTATTCTGAAACATGAATTGGATGGACTTTGAAAGGTCCACATTTTAGTTCTATTTATAGGAAAACCTAGAGAGCTATCTAATAAAATTTGTCAGCACACAGCAATAGTGTAGCAGTTACACGAACTAGATGAATGCTTTAATGGTTCCATTTTAAGTGGACAGAGAAACATAATGAGAACTGAACCAGAATTAAATGAATTCCTGATAAGAAGGAATCAGTTTACTTACAGTTTTCTTACTAAGGAAGTCTCTTTATTTTGGGTTATCCCAATGCATAGTAATTAGAATGCTTGATACCCATTTCGGTCGTGTCCATCCCAAAGAAATGATTTCCTCTAATACATTGTTCAGATTTTGCAGTGGCCATCATATGATTGTGGTGCTATAATAAATCAGGTAAAATTACTCAAAATAGATACTTGTGAAGTCATCAGCAAATAATCATCTCCAATTCCAGTTTATATACGGAGGTCATTTTCTTATTTTATTAAATGATGACAAAAATGATGCTTAAGTATCTTTCCTTAACTAAAACCAGCAAAACTTTACAGATTATCATGTCTTTAAATAGCTTCTCTAAGCCTTGGTTCTTTCATTGGTAAAAATATGTATAATAATCTCACCTCCCTCGTAGCATGGTTTGTGTGGGTTAACTAAGACAGTGCATGATAAAGTGGAGCACATTGCTTGTCTTGTAAATGTTTAATATACATTAGTGATTTGCCACTCAATAATGTGCTTCGTTATTTATTTTAACAACTATATTTTAAAATAATTAAATTGTTTTGGTTGTATATGAGAGATTTTGTTGGCTTTAGAAAAAACAACTCTGGGGTGCCTGGGTAGCTCAGTTGGTTGAGCATCCGCCTCTTGATCTCAGCTCAGGTTTTCATCTCAGGGTCATGAGGTCAAACCCTGTGTTGGACTCTGCACTGGGTGTGAAGCCTACTTAAAAATAATAAAAGCATATAAAATAAAATTTAAAAAATAAATAAATAAACCAAACTCATCCATTTCAACTATGAGAAACTTAAAATAGGCTCAGCAGCTAACTTGTTCTGAATGAAATTGAATAAATAGGAGCACATATGGAATCCTGCATTTCAGGTCAGAAAGTGGCTGAGCAGATGTTTATTGGTTAGGCACTAACTTGGTGGTGGTTTGAATAAAAGATCTGGGAGGATTTGAGGTAATTATAAATTCAGCATAAGCCACTCTTTGATATGTCCATCTCTTTAAAAAAAAAAAGAGCAAGAATAGTATTTCATTCATATCTGTCATATTCTGGGCTCCACAACTTAAGAGAGAGTGAATTATAAAACCAGAATAGATCCAGAAAGCAAACAGGAAGAAGAGCAGGATGCAGAGATATTAAGAGCATTGATCCCGCTGAGGAACTATTTTATAATTTATTATTATTTTATTATGTACGATAATAATTTTATTATTTGAACCCTTAGCTCTGAAACGTTTTTTTCTGAAGGTATAAGAAAGCAACAGAAGTAGAAAACAGACTGTTTTTGTATTTGTTTCACAAAGTGATGAAGGATTCAAAATTGAAATGTTTCAATAAAAAATATTTTTCAAGTAAAAATCTTTTATGAACACTTGAAACATGTGCAAGAATTCTTAAAATGTCTTTATTCTTAAATCTAGAGGATGCTGCTACTTGCTAAGAGAAAAATTTGGAAGGCATTAAGAAAGTAGCTATTTTGGGGTGCCTGGGTGGCTCGGTTGGTTGAGCATCTGATTTCTACTCAGGTTCTGATCCTGGGGTTGTGGGATTGAGCCCAGTATAAGCTCAGTTTAAGATTCTCTCTCTTTCCCTCTGCCCCTTTCCCCTGCTTATGTGCTCTCTCCCTCTCTCAAAAAAGAAAGAAAGAAGATAGCTATTTTGTCAGCGCTGTAAAACTTTTCAGGAGGTAATCATAAATATATTCTGGAAAAGAAATGCATAAGTCTAGATTTGATATTTTTCACTCCCCCCCCCCGAATTTCTCATGTAATTTTTCAGTTTGCAATGAAAGAAGAACCCTCTGTAAAAACATCTGAACATGCATGCATGTAAGAACCCTGCATGTAAAAACATGCAGGTGGCCCTGAGTCTTTCATTTGGGTAAAGTGTTAGAGTTTTTCTCTGACAGTTGTTCATTCACAAAAGGGTCTGGATGTTTTCATTTGGAGCTTTTGTCTTTGAACTGTAGTCTCAGATGACTTAGAATCCCCAAAGCAATTTAATTCCTGACCCTGTGTCCTTCTTTATGCTTCTGAGTTTGTCCTTCCCATAGAGAGGCTGGCAGGCAGATTGGCAAATGGATGTCTTCAGACTCCAGAGCTGTGTTCTGCCACAGATAGACCCTCTTTTACAGTCTTTGCTGCTGTGTTACAATGGAAGTGCTCCTGTGACTGTCGCTTTTTTAGTCACCGTGCAGATGCTGTTGGTAGTTACGGAATGGGGGCAGGTGCAGCCTGTACTCCGGTCATCATCCACGCGGGGGAGACCTGGGGGCGTCTCAGGTTGCCTGCTTCGCCTCTGCTACTTTCCCCAGCAGTTAGAACAGAGCTGTTCTGGCTGCGGTCCTGTCTCATGGTGCTGCTTCCTCAACGTGCTGATCTTTATCAGTTTTTCTGTCCTTTTCCTTGCTCTTTTTTCATATCCTGTCTCTCCCCGTTTATCAAGAGGAAACAGTTGATTGTAACCAGAACTCTCCTTTTTCCCCCTGTGCATTGTACAATGTTATAAAGAACGGATTCTTCTTTCCTGTGTTTGGTTTTGTTAAACCCTCATCTGTTCTAGAGGCATCCTGGGAAGCAGATTTTCAAACAGCTAAAGTTTATTCTGGGTTGTATGCAGATACCATGTATCAAATAACTGAATCCATTTCCAAAAACAACATGAGTTACAGAAAGCTAGTTGGGCATTTTCCAGAGTTGGAGAAATCTGTAACATTATTTTATTTCTTTAGATACTCCAGTAGGATCTTTCCTTAAACTCTATAGATAATCCTCTTGCTGTTTCTACATATATTTTTGTTGATAGGAAGTAAATTTCTTATGAATAGAAGTTTTCTGTAAGCCTTAATTATTTTAATTTGAATGTCTGACTGGTTAAGTCACAAAATTCTGAAACAATGAGAAAACTACTCATGTCTTTTTATCATACGAGTTTGGCAAATAATGACAAAGGCAGATGTGTAATAACCGCATGGTTTCTCTTCTGGTAGCGTTAAAACCACAGGTTACATCCGAGTTTCTCCTCTAATATAATGGCAGTGTCTGTTACAATCTATCGGGCCCTCCTCCTCCCCACTACCTGTCTGTCTTGATTGCTTTGAAAACTGTGACGTCAGCCCTTGTTCTAGTCTAACCAGGGCAAGCTTTTACTTAAATTATGGGAAACCTCATTTGATTCACATTAAAAACTCATCGGATATGCAAGTCCACTGTTCTCTGGTTTTATAATTATCATTCAGTAACTTCTTCTTAAATATAAATGCACTTTACTTAATACTCTATTACCTAGACCGGCTTCCATTGGCCTGTTCCTCAAATGCAGGAATCTCAGATTGAGTCTGTACAATTAAAAAGCCATTCCTATTGGAAATAGTTTTTTTAAACAGATTGAAAAGGCAGTCAAGAGCTCAGCCATTACTGGAAACTGGAGGAAGGCAGGCCCTTGTCACCAGAGGCGCAGAAAGCTTAGTCACACCGTCGGCCCTCGGGACAGAGAGGGAAGAGTAGGAAACGTGCCTGGTGCACTGCACCACCTGGTGCCGCTTGGTTTCTTCTTACTTCTTAGAGTAAAATGCAAGACGAGAAAGAGTAGTCAAGAGAAAGAGTGTTAAACAAGTAAGAACCAGAACCTGATGGTTTGAAAATTCTCAGCCAGTGAGATGCGGAAAGTAAGAAATGGCTTCTGAAAGAATTTCACATTCCTTAGGAGTTTTCTTAGCATCTGCCAATACCTATCTTAGGTTGAAAACTAGGTGTATATGTGTGAATATTATTTGATATTAATGTTGAATTGAACCTGGGCGGTGGGGAAGTGCCTTGTATTTCCTTCTCAACCCAGATTGTAAGCTGTTTGAGACTAGGTCGTTTCATGAATTAAGGTGCAAACATATAAAAACATATCTTAAAAAAAAAAAAAAGCTAGAAAAAGGAAGCTTCGGTACTGCTAAGTAGGGTCATGGTAGCTCTACTACCAAAAGCAAAAGAGAAGAACCAGGGCTAAATCTGGCAAGGCCAGTGCTTTCTGACTCACCTGCAAGGAAATTGCTTCAAGAACCAAAGGTGATATGTACCAACAGCCGTCAGCAGTATTTTAGGAAGAGCAAATGGAAAACTTGCAGGTATCTGATCACTGGCTGCAGAAAGGGCACACGTAGCATAAGTGTGTAATATCTGACTCTGAGACATCCTCTCGGCTTCATAATCTCAACCTTTTGGCACAAATTGTCACACTGTTTGATAAGTAGTATGGAAATCAGATATTTTGTTAGTAACCAAAGCTATTCATTGTGGGAGAAGCAGTGACATATGTTGGTTTATCAAAAATATTCTGTTTTTCAATTAGTTTTTTCTCCTAAGTAATAAAAAAAATTATGAGTACCCTACCTTTACCATCCAGTAATGAGAACCAAAAGTGTCTCCAGACAGGGCCAAATGTCCTTTAGGGGACCAAAAAAAAAAAAAAAAAAAAAATCACCTCCTGTTGAAAACCACTGATATAACGGCAAAAAATAGCCAGAAGAGCGGGGAGGGAGGTCTTAGAATTTAATTGCCCATAAGTCTATATTTTTTACCTAAATAAATTTTGATCTGTGTTCTGCTTTGAAAAGATAATACAAGTGTGAAATAATTGGAAATTAAAGCAGTGCACCAGTTTGGATTTGAATATTGGAATTTTTGCTCTGGGAAAAAATATAGTAGGTGTTTCCTTTAATAGTAAGCAAATATCTTACATATGTGAAATTAACACCTCACATAACAGGTCAGGAAATCTGAAATGACTAGTAGTGTAGTGAAGAAAGAACCCACACTTCCTAATGTCCAACCCAGGGAGTATTTTTCTTATTAGAGCCCCATCCATTTTACATAACCCTAAGTAATCATCATTATCAGCTGAGGTACCTTTTAAAGAAATAAACTTTAGCTCTCTTAGATTTTTTTTTTTTTTTTAAGTAGGCTCCATGCTCAGCACAGAGCACCGTGTGGGGCTTGAAATCATGACCCTGAGATCAAGACCTGAGCTGATTTCAAGAGTGGTATGCTTAACCAACTGGGCCAGCCAGGCTCCCCTCTCTTAGAATTTTTGAGGTTGATGATGAGTTATGTCTGTAAGCCACAGTACCTGACCACATTGCCATTCATTTAATTGTAACTGTAAATTATGTTTAATGGTTTTCACATAAGTAGAATTGAATAATATTAAAATTGAGGTCCTGTCACCAACTCTGTATCTTCATGTTCATTCATAAAGAAGGAAAGGAAGAGAAGGAAGGACGGAGAAAGAAAAGGCGGAAGGGAGGAGATGTATGTGTGCGTTTGCTTTCCAGGGAGTGGCAGACAACAGCCTTCTACACTGAGCAGGGGATTAAATGGCTGCTTTTCATAAATAGTAACAAGATGGTAAAGTGACTTCTGTGACTCACATCTTCTCAGCAAGCACTTTCTAAAATGGTTTAGAGAGCAGAGGGGAGAAGAAGTATTGGGTGTGTTTTGTAAAAAGCCCTACACACCACGGAGAGCAAAATGTTAATGAAACTAAAGTGGTGTATGGCTCCTTCAGGCCATTACTGGGCTTCTATTACTGGGCTAGAGAAAAGGTGCTAAAGGTGTGTAACCATACTGGGTAGAGAGCCAAGATCATATTTTAGAATGAAATTGGCCATCCCTGGAGTAGCCAATTCTCTAGACGTTGAAGAGGTAATCTGATATCAAATATAGGAAGTGCTAGTGATTAAATGAATTGAGAATTATTATTACAACTGACAGTGCATTTATTTATAAAAACTCCCAAAACATTATAGGAATTTATGGCCTTTCCTATATTTGTATTTCCCGTATATCCCAATGTTGTTTCAGCAATTTAAAATGAATCAGAACTCTGTGCATTTTCCAATAAAATTCATTTTTATACATCTCAATTTAAATAATTGGATCATCTGTTCTGGTAAATTCTACTTTTCTTCAATAATGTATTTGGCTACCGTGGCTTGTTATGAGGTTTTCTAATGTTAATGTTAGTTTCTTACAATTGCCCATTTTACTTTCTGAATCTCTTACAGTGCCAAAACCAACGAATATTCAAATTAAGGCCCATAACTTTAATACTGTCCTATCTTGGGATTACCCGACCATGTCAGAGACCCCTGTTTTTACCGTACAAGTAAAGAACTATGTGTAAGTGTTACTTTTTCATTCTTTTTATTTTGCTTTCGCCTCAGTCTTTGTATAACTTTCTATAACTCTGTTTTCATCTTTTCTTTCCCATGTGGCAGAACTTCCAGAAGCTCTAAGGACGCAAATTAGTTATTTTGACAATATTTCCTGCCTTTTACTTCTCCTTCCTGTCAAACCTGACCAGGAGTCTCATTAACTTTTGAGGTTTTTTTAAGGCAGGATAAATAAAGCTTGGAATTCGTATTAAAAGTAATGATGTCATCTTACTTCCCATAGTGAATGTATTGTTGAGTAGAAAGATAAGAATTTCAAAACAATTTTAGGAGTTCCTGTTAAGAGTCTTTGTAATATGTTAGGTTCTGCCATCTAGTAATGACTGTCTATGTTAATAGAATCTGGAGTTGTTTAAGGACCAGATTTTTTAAAATTACATAAGGAATGTGATTTGTTCAAGTGTTGTATTTTGAATTGAGCCTCTTTATTGTAAAGGAATTTATAGGACTTTTAACTAGAGTAAGGGCCTCCTTTGTCTGGTTTCTCCATCCTATTCTCAACTGCGCTCTTTCAGCCAGTTACCAGCTCCATGCTGTGAATGAAAAGCAAAGCATAGACAGAGATGATTGAAGTCTACATAATAATAAAAGTTTCCCTTGTTCCTTTATTCCTTTTCATTTCAGGGAAGCAATATGGATTGATGCCTGCAATACCTCTCATCATTATTGTAATATCTTTTCCACAATTCGTGATCCATCACTCTCTCTCTGGGCCAGAATTAAAGCTAGGCTTGGACAAAAAGAATCAGCCTATGTAGAGTCAAAAGAATTTATTTTGTGTAGACACGGTGAGTAGAACTTTGAAATTTGAAATACACATGTCTTCTATGGATATTTGCTTTTGTTAGAACTTGCTAAAAATTATCGCAATCCCCAGGAAACCTTTGGAAGAATTTAGGGAGTTGTATCTTCCTCTTCCCCCAAGTCCCACAAAATAGGGTTGGGAGGTGCCCATCACTGTGCCCCATCTAAACCATTGCATTTCCACTCCCTGTAACCATGCCTCGGTGCTGCCCAAGTGCATTCTGCACCGGCCTCCCCCTCCCTTCCTCCATCACTCCTTGCTCAGTTACACTCCCGGAGGACGGGGGCACCTGCTCTCGTTCTTCCTCCGTGGGTCCAGTCCCCAGAGCCCCTGGGAATTTTATATGCCAACGTAATACGTTAAAAAATTTTAGATTTCTGTGCAATCTCCTCAACCCCGGTGACTGTCAGTCCGTTCTCCTGCCAGCATCACATCCCCATGGTTTACCTGATCTTAGTTACCACTTCAAGCTCCAGAATCTTCCGCCCCAATTCCTCTTTTCTGATTGAAACTCTACCTGTAGCTCTCTTACCCTCGCTCGCTCGTGGGTAGAGAAGTGATGAATCATCTGGCTCCGCCCTAGCGTTCTGGGCCCTGGTGCCTCGCCATTCACCTTCACTCCCTTGTTCAGTGCCCTGTGCCCTTTCTTCCGCTGCAGCCTTGCTTCTGCTTCTGCTCTTGAGCTGTGCCTGCCCAGTCTCTTCCATGGGCCTTTCCTCCCCGTGGCCTTGAAATAATTTTTTTATTCCCTAGAGTCCATGCCTTTGTCATCTGTGAACTGTGCTCATCTGTATATCAGGTTTTTCCTACACAGATTTATCAAGGGGATACTCTGTGCTAGAAAATATGCCAGGCCCTCAAGATAAAAATAGGCCTGCCTGGCACATGGTTAAGTGTGCAATACATATGTGAAGAATAGGTAAATGGTTCACCAACAGAGTCTCAGGCGTCAGAGACACCTAATAAATATTCGTCGAATGAATGAATATCTAGTTTTGATTTTCATAATAAGAATTGAATATATTTAGCAAACTTTTATAAGAGCCTTCCTGCCAGACGTCCATAGGTGTTGGAGGTACAGAGAGTTTTGGTGAGTCTTCAAAGGTAACTAAAACGCCTTTTCTGAAACATTTTTTAGAGAACAGGTTTTCTTTTTAATCTACCAAAACCAAAGAAAAAGGAAAAATAACTTAACAGAGCTTCTATTATGTCAAGGCTTTGTTTTGGTTTTTTTTTTGTTTTTTTTTTTTTACCAGAACTCAGGACCAGAGCTCATGACCCAACTGTTTTCCTTTAGGGCTAGAATTTAAACTGCTAAAGAGAAGTTTAGGTTCGATAAGAATACTTCCTGCTTGAGATTAATTAAACATTTCTTTATTAACAACATTTGTTTTTTTTAATTTCTTTTTAAATGTTTATTTATTTTTGAAAGAGAGTGAGAACAAGCAAGAGAGGGTCAGAGAGAGAGAGAGAGGGAGACACAGAATCTGAAGCAGGCTCCAGGCTCTGAGCTGTCAGCACAGAGTCCGACGCGGGGCTTGAACCTACGAACTATGAGATCATGACCTGAGCCGAAGTCGGACGCTTAACCACTTGAGTCACTCAGGCGCCCCTTTATTAAGAACATTTAGAATACCATCTAGATCTTTGTGGAATGGTTTAAACATGATCCTGCTTTAGAACAACAGAAAGAGTAAGTTGGTTGATTTTGGCAGTTTTATGTAATGTACTATAAAGTTCCAGGGGTCTACTAATCTGCATTTTTTTGTCCCCGCCCCCCTCCCCCAACCACAGGGAAAATTGGATCACCTGACCTGAGCATCAGAAAGATGGAAAGACAAATCATTATTGACATATTTCACCCTTTAGCTGTTATAAGTGGAAGTGAACCTGTAGCCATATATGGTGATGAAACTTGTTACACATTCAAGTACACGGTGCATCTGAGAATAGATGGAAATGAGGTATGTGTTTCTATTTCATTTTGTCCAAAATGGCAGTTTTTTCTGTTGCTCTGTGAAGCTGTTTCTGCATGTACTGTAACAGAAGTAGAACATTCGGACGGACTTCGGGATCATAGACCGTACCATAGGTTGTGGTAAGAAACACGACGTAAGTGAGTGCTGGTGGACGGAGCTGGCTTGGAGTTCATCACTAGCACTGGTTTCTTTCCCTCATTTAACAGCATGGATTTTAAACCTGTTTATTTCTTCACCAGTAAAATGAGGAACATTGGTACTGATGTAACATAACATGAAGCTATAATGGGAAATCATTCTTTTTGAAAGAAGCAGTGGTACGGCTGTGGGGACAGATACGCTTGCCTTCTGGCACCGGTGTGGATTTGGATTGGAATCGTTCTAGTCCATTCGTTCTCCACGGCCCTGCCCCCGCTTTATTTAACAGTATTTGTCAAGCACGTGCTGTGTGTGTTCTAGGCACCAGCAGGTCCCAGTGAAAGGTACAGACAAACCTCCGGTGACGCGCGATGAAGAAAACCCAAGCAGGGAAGGGGGACGGGCAGCGGGGTCGGGACTGGTAGCGGTGTTCGGTAGGGAGGTCAGAGCAGCGCTGGAGGAGGTTAGCAGGTGACCTGATCCATGGACATGATGGGGAGAACGTTTCAGGCAGAGAATCTGGCAAAAGCACACCGGGCACGGGAAGGGCAGCTGGACCCCTCACGGGAGCAGATGAGGTCAGGGCTCTCTGGGGGCCACATCCCTGGGGGCACCGGAGGGATTTGACTTTTATTCTGACTGAGCTGTTGTGCCTCTGGAAAGATCTAAGCGGGAAGAGGGACATCTGACTTAGATTTTAAAACATCACCCTGGAGGCTTCGCCGAGTTGTCCTTCTAAGGTGCACATCTCACCACATTTCTTCACCGCCTCAAATCCTTTAGCAAATCCCCACCAGCTGCGCAATCAGGCCCGATTCGCTCTCGTGGCATGACCTGCGAGACCCTCATGATATGGCCTCTTGCGTCCTTTCCAGCTTTTTGCCTCCCCGTCCCTTCCAGCCCGATTTGTATTTGCGCTTCGGTGAACTGCCGACGTGTTCTTCGTTCCCTGCAGGTGCCCTGCGCTTTACAGATCGCCCTTCCCCACCTTCTCAGCTTTGGCATATTTCTGCTCACTTTTCAGTCTTCAGCTGGCATTTCATCTCCGCTTTGAAGTCTTCTCTGACACAGTAGGCTGTTTGCCCCTCTGTGGTTCGGGTGTTCCCAGTTCCATTGATGGTCCCCTCACTCTGCTCATGACTCATTTCTCTCTGCTCCGGCGGAAGTTGCTTGCGGTCAGGCGCTACGGTCTTACGTTCGCGTCTCCAGGCCCTACGTGGCGCAGGTGGTGCACGCACTTGGGCGGATGAATGGGAAGCTGCCAGAGACTGCTTCGGGCCCTTCTGCGCACTGCTGCTAAGAGACACTACAGTCTTCGCAAAATGGCTTTCTTATTCTTCCTACAGACGGGTTCATAGCTCTCCCCAGCTGTTTCTAGCACTCCTGGAATAGAACTAATGAACATTTGTTGGCTTAACAGTGACCAGTGAACATTCTTGGTATTTGAGTTTTAAAATGTATAAGCCCTAAAAAGAACATTGTACTGGAGACATAGCATAATGCTGTGCTGAAATAACAAACTGACTTACTATTTGATCTCAACGCAATTTTCAGACATGGTTCAACTTTCCTCACATATATTCTTTCCAGGGGTTTGATCAGGTAAATGTAGGGGATTTTGTTTGCCTTGGCAGAATAAAAGCCATGCATTTTCATTGTTGTGGTTTGTTCCCATACAGAGCTCATACATATCGGATGTAGAGGAAGATAATTGCAACGAGACTCAGTGCCACCTAATTGTCCCAGTGTCCTCACTGAATTCTGAGTACTGTGCTTCGGTAGAAGGAAACTCTGATTTCTGGGGGGTTACGACGAACAAGTCCAAAGAAGTTTGTGTTAGCGCTTTTGATGCCAAACACATGGAAGGCAAGTTTCTGTTTTTTTCCTAAATACAGGCAGTGATGAGTCAGATAGGCGTTTAAAAGAAGGAGTTTCAATAAATCTCTGTTCTTTTAAAAATAGGCAATGGCTCCATTCCTCAGAGAAGTTCAAAAATAAAAAGAAGCTCATTTATCAGGCATTAAAAGATATAAAACAGCCAACTAGGAAAGGTGCATGATGATCTTTTGACATAGGAAAGAAAAAACACAGCACCTAAAACTCTGCGCATAGATGTCTGCATTTCAGGATTACACGTAGTGACAGAAGTCAGCGTAACTGTTTCCACGTGACAAGGTGTTAGGTATCCATTAAAATGTTCTTCGTGGGGATAGCAAGCTTAAAAACAATAGCGGAAATATTCACTGTGTGATGTGAACTGGATAAATACTGGAAATTATTATCCAAAAATAAGTGTTGACAACACTTAAAAATAATTTCATTTCATTACCTTTTCTTTGTGTGAGGGGATACATATACTAGAACTTTAGGACTAACTTTCTCAAGTGACAGCTCTCTTAGCCAAAACGTGGGCCGTTCTTTGCAGTTATGAAATTGAAATTTCATTACACGTAATTTATAAAATATGAAAAGCCAGAAGAAAACAAAATCATCTATAGTTCTATCATCCAAATATTCAGTTACAGTTTAGGTGGTTTTTTCTCATCCTATTGTCTTTTTCTACATAGCCATGATCATGTTGTACGGTATATACAACTTTGTGTATTGCTTTAAATATTTATTATAAATATGATTCCATTTTATTTCACATACTTTCTTAATATTATTTTTTTAATGTCTGTAGACTGTTTCATCATGTAGAATGTATATTCTATTTAATGTTCCCCAATTTTGGACTTTTAGATTACTTATAAATTTTTTTTTTCCTGTGATGATAGATCATGTTTCGATAACTGTCTTTGTGTATATATATTTTTTCCAGTTGTTAGGCTGTTTTTAGAATGTATCTCCTGGCTACAAACATTTTATGGTACAAATACCTTTTTGAAGAATGGGAATCTAGGCTGAAGAATTAGACCAAAGGCCTAAAACTTAATATCGATAACTTTTAGATCAGTAGGATGACGGTTTCAAATAGGCGACCTAAAGGGGCATCTGGGTGGCTCAGTCAGTTGAGCAACTGACTTTGGCTCAGGTCATGATCTCACAGTTTGTGGGTTCGAGCCCCGCATCGGGCTCAGTGCTGACAACTCAGAGCCTGCAGCTTGCTTCGGATTCTGTGTCTCCCTCTCTCTCTGTCCCTCACCTGCTCGTGTACTATCTGTCTCTGTCTCTCAAAAAATGAATAAACATTAAAAAAAATAAATTCAAATAGGCAACCTAAAGAAATGCAGTGCATTTTATGCCATCTTGGATTGTATTGTTTTGAAAAATAAAATCCTCATTCACACAAAATTTGAAATAATGCAAATGCCTCAGATTTATTTATTTTTAATGTGAATTATAAACTGGGCTGGTACTGTGGCCACATGGTGGCGCCACTGTAGCTCAGTGGCCCTGCCCGCCTGGACTGTGCTTCTAAACAACAGTGCTGAGGTTAGTTGCATCCTTATCTTATCTTTATTGCTGCAGTCACTTAGTTTTTTCCACGTCTTATAACAGGTATTATACAAGCATTCACTTAGTAGTAATTTCCAGAGTCACTGTTCCAAGAAAGTAACTTTGAAATAGAAATGAAAGGTAATAAAATGGCAGTAGAGAGGCCAAACGCCACCATGATATGTAGAAGACTGTGAAAATAGAATGCGGAAGATTGTGCTTTGAAAATAAAAAGCAGCATTAGAGCAGAATTCACAGCAGTGAGGACAAACGTGCTCTGAAACAAATCTTTCCCCTTTTCTGTCACTGTCTCTGGTTTGCATTGAAAGGCACTTAGTTCCTGTGCAACGTTTCATGCCTGTGTGTGCTGTGTGTAGGTCTGTGTGTCTTTATGAGTGTTTGCAATCTTGAAATAAATACAAAATGTAACACAATTCTGAGGAGTGGGACTAAATTATTTTAAAAGGTGTCGGTATTGCCAGAATTTTTTAAGGGGTAGATTTTTAAAGATTTTTTTTTTTTTGCCTCATTAATGGAGAGAAAACTGTAACTCTGGAAACGGCCTATATTCAGGGCTTTAAGAAAACTGTTATGGAGTGCCTGTTCTAGCCACCTTGTGTCATGGAGGTATTAGCTAGAGAATGTGGAGTATGGCAGAGCTGGAAAGAATCATCTTGGGACCCGGGCCAGGCCCCTGAGTCGTTTTTCACCTTGCCTAACTTCTGCAGGAAGTGTTCTATGCAATTCTGACCATATTAATCACCTGATGGGGCAAAGCGCTAAGACTTTATAGCTACTTCACAGATAATAGCAGCTTTCCCTCTTCATTCTAATTTGTGATTTCTCCCTTTTTTTTCAGATTCTGTTTGGGTTTTGGTTGTTGCTGCTGTCTTCCTTTCTGTCGTCGTCGTCATAGTACTCGTATGTTGTTACACGAAGAAGATTAATCCATTTAAGAGACAAAGCATCATGTTACCCAAGTCCTTGGTACCATATTTAAACATTTTTCTTTAATTATATACACTAAAGCATTAACATGGACCTTTCTGATAGTTGCTTACATCTTTTTTTAAGTTGAATGACATTCAGCAGCGTGTTGCCTATCATAAATCACTCAGTCTACCACCCACCCAAAATCACATAATTTTTACTGTGCAGCGTGTATTTTTGTATGCATGGGACAAGAGCATGATTGGATAAGTCTGTGAAGGAGCGTAAAGTGCAGTGGGAGAAAAAGATAAGGTTTCAGTGAGTGGACAGTGTTCAAATGCAGAGGTCTCCGTACGTGCTGGTGAGGACTTAGCCACCCTGGAGGGGCCGGTTACTTGTGGTCTTTCCAGAGGTGGTGAGACTTGAGCAATCCTGAGGGAAAGACAGGAGTTTATGCAGGTACTAAGGGGCAGTATGTTCCCAGCATCAAGAAAGCATGGCATGTGAAAATCTGAAAATACAAAAATACCGTTATGGTTGGAGTGTAGAAGGAAAGGCGGTCACACATGAGGCTGGAATTTTGACATCTTAATGGTTAGTATTTAAAAGCCCTTTGGGGCGCTTGGGTGGCTCAGTTGGTTGAATGTCCGACTTTGGTTCAGGTCATGATTTCACAGTTCGTGGGTTCGAGCCCCTCGTCGGGCTCCACACTGTCAGTGTGAAGCCTGCTTGGGAGTCTCTCTCTCTCCCTGTCTGTCTGCCCCTCCCTCACCCGTGCTCCCTCAAAAACAAATAAACATTCCAAAAATAAATAAAAGCCTTTATGTGATGAAAAGCACATTTACAGGTAACAGGATCATAGCTATTTGAATGAACTATAATAGGAATAATACCTATGATATGCAAAGGAGTCTTTTCAATTTGTTTTGAAAACACTACCTTTGAGTGAAGTGAATATTCTATCAACAGGAGATGATTCATGTATGAATTCTAGTATTTGTCCTTACTAATTAAGGATAAGTACGTAATTAAGTACAAAGCAACCTTGCAGTCCGCAACTTTACACCCACTAGAGAAGGAAAAATACACCTGAATATTCAGGAGTTCCAGTAGTAGTAGAACTGGTATATACTGGTAAAAATAATGCAGCCCTAGTGGGAAGGTAAGCATATAATGGGTATAGAGTGTAGTGTCATAAACGTGCCCCAGCCCTTGACTGAGTAATTTCTACTTTTAAGAAATTATTCTTTTTTTTAGCGTCTATTTATTATTTTGAGAGAGAGAAGAAAGAGTGTGCACACAAGCAGGGGACAGGCAGAGAGAGAGAGGGAGGGAAGGAGGCAGAGAGAATGAGAGAGAGAGAAAGAGAGAGAGAATCCCAAGCAGGCTCCTTGCTGTCAGCGCAGAGCCTGAGGTGGGGCTTATCCCCATGAACCTTGAGATCGTGACTTGAGCCAAAATCAAGAGTCAGACACTTAACTGATGCGCCGTCCAGGTGCCCCAAGAATTTATTCTTAAAAAGCAACTTCGTAAATACAAAGATGTGTAAAAATATTCACTTCAGCATGTTCTGTAAATCCTAAAAATAAGAAACACTTCAGTATCTGCTATTAGAGAAGTTACTTTAATCATCAGTATAGAGAAAGTATGAGGCAGTGAAGATTATAATAAAAATTGCAATTATGAAGGCGAATGGTGAAAATACTATATAAGTAGGTGTTCCCCCATTACAGATGCCGTGTGCATATGTAGTGAAGTCATGTAGCAAAAGCAACATGGACTAGTTAAGATGCTGGATGACTTTTTGAAAATTCTAAAAACTTGTTCTTAATCTTAAAGTAGTATATTTTATTAAAAAGCAAGAAAGGCAACCACCAGATGCCATTATATCATTACCATAAGTGTACCATTTAGTGGTTTATTTCATCGACCATTACACTTAGGCCATTTCTTTCTAAGGATATGCACTTAAGTCTAACAGTGTATGATTTTTAATCACTTATTTTTCTTCCCTTAGCTGTCTGTGGTAAAAAATGCCTCTTCAGAGACCAAATCCGAGTCAAAATGTATATCACCCATCACCTACCAGCCAGTTGTCACAGAAAATGAGAAGATGGTCTGGGAAGAGCACTTGTCTCCAGCAACAATTTCAGATATGCCTACCGCAGATGATCTGGAAAAAATGGAACACCATGCAAAACTTCAGGTGGTGACCCCTGAAGGAGACCTTTCTGACACGGCTCCTGATAGCCCGCTGACCCCAGCCCTGACAGAGAATTCTGTCCATTCAGATAGTAACCAGTCGGAAACCTGTGTTGTCGCTTTAAACTCCTATCACTCCAGAAATGGTTCCGATAGTGGTGTCGTGGAATCGCAGAGCTTATCGGACTCAGAACTTCCCCCAAGTAGTAAACCCGAAATAAAGACCGAAGGACAGGAGTCCGTAATGCTGAGAAACACTACCACCTCCTTTGGCTATGACAAGCCGCACGTATTAGTGGATCTGCTTGTGGATGAAGGTGCTAAGGAATCCTTGATTGGTTATAGACTTACAGCAGATTCCAAAGAGTTTTCTTGAGATTGAAGAAGATGCGCCAGCTTTGAAGGATCTGCCTTCCCCGAATGGTGTTTCTGCTTCGACTTCATGAAGACATCATGATTTTAAAAGTTGTATCTTTGTTGACATTAACCAAATATAATCGTATCTTGGTTTCTTAAAGGGCAGAGAGTCTCCTTTGGCACTGTCCAATTTGGCCTGAAAACTGCAAAAAGCTATAAAAAAAAACAAACAAAAAACAAGCCATTGTCACCTATGAACTTTTCTACCCAGATGGGCTTGCATGATCAGTGAATACTCTTAGGAACCTGCTTCCTGTGATAATGGATGAGATGCCTCAGGTCCTTTCTAATCACTTCCAGGCGTAAACTAGTTTTGTTTTGTTTTTTCCTTTTCTGTGTCTTAGCTTGGTATTTGTTTTTGGAAGTCTATGTAGTAGTTTTAAATGCTCACTTTCAGAAGAAATCCTAAAAGCTTTCCAAAAGTGAATATAAAATCTAAATCAAGTCAATAGACTTAATAAAGGATATGTAAATAGAAACATGTACATATTTTTTATGGAACGTTGTATTTAGATATTTGTAAATAAAGTATGTTTAAAATTCATTTTTGTACTCATTTATTCAAGCACTCAGGCAGTCAACCTATTATTTTTTTATCCATTTGCTTGTTCCCATGTATTAAGACTATAGAACGGTTTCCTAATTATTCATATCTAATCTTTTTTTTTTTTAAATATTTTATTTATTTCTAGGAGAGAGAGACAGCGTGAGTAGGGGAGGGTCAGAGAGAGAGGGAGTCACAGACTGAAACAGGCTCCAGGCTCTGAGCTGGCAGTCAGCACAGAGCCCAACGCGGGGCTCGAACCCACGAACCGCGAGATCATGACCTAAGCGAAAGTCGGACGCTTAACCGACTAAGCCACCCAGGCGCCCCTCATATCTAATCTTTAAAACAGTCCTAAAAATAATTTAATCTTTAAGAATGGCCCTTTTATGTCTATTTTTTTTAATGTTTATTTATTTTTGAAAGAAAGACAAAGTGCGAGTGGGAGAAGGGCAGAGAGAGGGAGACACAGGCTCCAGGCTCTAGGCTCTCAGCTGTCAGCACAGAGCCTGACGCAGGTCAAACTCATGAACCACGAGATCATGACCTGAGGGGAAGTTACACTTAACCGAGTGAGCCCCCCAGGCACCCCCTGTATTTCAATATTTAGCATCCAATGTACGGAACGCTGTTCCAGGCTCTTTGGGGAGGGAACAAAAAGGTGGGTTTTTCTGTAGAGAATTAAGATTGATGGGTCTTTAGCAAAGATGATGGTCAAGGCCATTGGAATGGGTGGGAGCCCTGAGAAGCATGTAGTGTGAAGAGAGTCCCAGCAAGAGGCAAACGAAGAGTTCATTTCTATATTACACAAGGAGTTCTTGGGAATTATGAAGAACATAGTAATTTTAAGATTCAAATGAATTAATGGACGAAAAAAATTTTTCGTAATATACCTCTCTGAGTAAATTAACAAACTGTGTAGAAATATTTCCCTTCACTTAAAAGTACAGATTAAGGGGCGCCTGGGTGGCTTAGTCGGTTAAGCGTCCGGCTTTCGCTTAGGTCATGATCTCGCGGTTCGTGGGTTCGGGCCCCGCGTCGGGCTCTGTGCTGACTGCCAGCTCAGAGCCTGGAGCCTGTTTTGGAGTCTGTGACTCCCTCTCTCTCTGACCCTCCCCTGCTCACGCTGTCTCTCTCTCTCTCTCTCCTAGAAATAAAAAAAAATTAAAAAAAATATTTAAAAAAAAAAAAAAAGTACAGATTAAGGGTTACCTGGGTGGCTATCACTTAAGCATCTGACTCTTGATTTTTAGCCCAGGTCTTGATCCCAGGGTTGTGGGATCAAGCCCCACGTCAGGCTCTGTGTTGAGCATAGAGCTTGCTTGGGAGTCTCTCTCTCTCTGTCTCTCTGTCTCTCTGTCTCTCTCTCTCTCTCTGTCTCTCTGCCCCTCCCCTGCTCGTGTGCTCTCTCAAACAAAGTATAAACGTAGCTTGAGCGCTGCTACTGTTCAGAAGCAGAGCTAGATTATATTGGAAAGCCCTAGGGGAGGATCTTTCTTTGCCTCTTCCTTGTCTCCAGTGATTACTGGCAAACCTCAGCTTTCGTTAAATCATAGCTGTATCATTCCAGTCTCTGCCTCTTGTCACATGGCATTCGGAGCTGAGGAGCAAACAATGACTGACATTTATTGAGTCCTTACTGCGTGCCAGGCACTATGCTGAGTGCTACACTTGTGCCTTATTGCTTTATTCACTTTATTGCTAGAATCTCATATTATCCATGTTCTGTTAAGTGAAGAAACTGAGGCTCGGAGAGGGAGAGGAACCTGTATCTTGTCACATAGCTATCCCATTCAAAGCCATCTTCAAAATAAGGGGAGTGAGCATGAGATTACCAGACCAGAAGCTCCAGGAAGGAGAGGAAATCTTAGTAGCTAGTGAGAGGCCAAGAATGGCATGTTACACACAGGAGCAGGGGTGAAGTGTGGGGGCCTAAGCAGCAGGCGGCCCTGACACCTACCCTGGGTTAGAAACTGGTGCTGGAGAAGGGTGCTCTAAATTCAAATCTCAGAGAAGGATCAATTTCAAATGATGATGTGGCTAAAAAATGTCTTAATTTCAGTCTATGTGTTTTCACCTACTGAGAGCCAAGCACGCAGTGGTAGCCCCCAGGGTGGTGGTTAATGAAGAGCAATGGCTCCGAAGTCTGACCCTTGAGTTAGAACCCTGACTTTGCTATTCACCACATGACTTGGAGCAAGTCCCTTGGCTTCTCTCTGCCCTGGTTTACTATGAAGCAGGTGCACACTATAGTCACAAAATCAGCTCAGCCAGCCATGTGCGCGGTACTCAAAAGGGTTGTACACAAGCACCTAATAAAGATCAGATGCCAAAGTGTGGGAAGGAAACAATTAAATCTTCAAATTCTCCGTTACAAACAAATGACTAATATAATGAAGGAAAAGCACACAGTACATCTGCAGCATGACAAGGGGACCTAGGTGAGATCCAGCCTCTTGAGGAAGTGACATTTAAGCGTAATGATTCTGCCTGTGTTATGCCGCCTGTGGAGCTGTTTTTCCCCCTCATCTCCATTGTTCTCCGCCAAGGCTCACATGCAACCAATCTGACTCCCTCTCCCCACTTTCCACAGAGCAGCATTCCTGCCTGACTCCTGCTTGAATGTTTGGGGAACGTTCCAGCAGCCTTCCCCACTCACCACGCCTGAGGGAGGACTAATGTATATCCTGCCTCTGCTACAGGCAGATGTTTGGCCAATTTCTCTCATCAGCCCTCCTCACTAGCTGGTGGGGCAGGTCTTACACAGTTTTTTCCAAGTGAGGAACCTGGGGCACAGGAACGTTGGTTTCTGGGGAACTAGAAACTAAAGAGGTATATCTTGGGAATACAATATAGAAGGAACTCACAATACACCTAAAATGTGGAGGATGGCTAGGACAGTGGCGTGCAGGGGTGCCACTGCTGGAGTCGTGTGTGGCTGAGGGAAGGACACGGGCTGGGGAGAAGGTTGGGCACCCTCTGCAGTATTAAGGTGAAGCCCCTACTTTGCAGAATATGGGTTTTTTAAAAAATTGAAATGTAATTGACATATCAGTTTGGGGCATACAACAGAATGATTTGATGTTTGTACATGTTGTGGAATAATCACCACAATAAGTCTAGTTAACATCCTTCACCACACATAGTTGCAATTTTTTTTTTCTTGTGATGAGAACTTTTAAGATCTACTCTCTTAGCAACTTTCACACATACAATACAGCTTCATTAACTCTGGTCACCATGCTGTACATTAAGTCCCCAGGACTTATTTATCTTAAAACTCAAAAGTTTGTACCTTTTGAATACGTTTAGATGGGTTCAGGTAAAGAATCCAGAGACTCCGGAAATGAAATCAACTGAGTCTGTGCTCTGGATGTGTCTGCTCATTTGGGGGATAAGAAATGGCGTCATCTGGGCTTTTGAGAACCAGGATGGGAAACCCATCACAAGTGGATGAAGCTAAGAGAGATCTATTTGGAGGAATTCGAACTCAAGCTTTACCTATCTTCAAAGTGCAGGCTTTTCCCACTGTGGTCTGATGCCTCTAGCTTCTGGTAAAAAAANATCTATTTGGAGGAATTCGAACTCAAGCTTTACCTATCTTCAAAGTGCAGGCTTTTCCCACTGTGGTCTGATGCCTCTAGCTTCTGGTAAAAAAAAAAAAAAAAAAAAAAAAGGCACATTACGCCTTCCAGCTGTCTTTGAATATAAATCATGCTTTAACTGTGATAACCAGGAAGCTACCTCCAGAAATAGCCTTAGGTGAAGCTGGAAATACACTCTTAATACATTGCTTACGGTGGTTACTCACAATGCTACGGTAAAATAAGACAGAAAGTCATTACTTTGAAATTCAAAAGATATTTCACTTACTATGAGGTTCATGAGGGTTTTAAAATTTTGTTTAGATGCTCAGTGTACATGTTGCTGAATGGATATTACACCTAAGCAGTTGTGTGGCCATATTTTATCTTTGCTCATGAATGATAAATGAATACTAATCCATCTTTCTGCCCTTCAACTCCCAGAAAGCAAAGAATAAGAGGGGATTTCCAGGGGTGCCTGGGTGGCTCAGGTCAACTTCGGCTCAGGTCATGATCTCATGATTCATGAGTTTGAGCCCCACCTCAGGCTCTGTGCTACTAGCACAGAGTCTGCTTTGGATCCTCTGTCCTCCTCTGTCTCTGCCCCTCCCCCATCTTGAGCTACTCTCTCTCACTCTCTTTCTCTCCCTCCCTCAAAATAAATAAACTTAAAAAAAGGAGGATTTCCAAATTGCACATGATTGCATAAATCAGCTTCTTTTTCTCTGGAAATCATGAAAAAATGAGAATTAAAAAGCTTTATCCTACGTCAGGAAAAGCAATCTATATTGCAAAATTGTTAAGAAAAAATAAAGAATATATCCCACTTCAGAGCAAAAGAAAGAGCCTACAGGATACATTTCAGAGTAAATTCCTAGTGTAAATACTGGAGATGCATTTAATTTTTTATGTCTTTTTTCTATTTTATTTTGAGAGACAGAGATAGAGAGCAAGTGGGGGAGGGGCAGAGAGAGAGACAGAATCTGAAGCAGGCTCCAGAACCCGAGCTGTCAGCACAAAGCGCGACACGGGGCTCAAACCCACAGACTGTGAGATCATGACCTGAGCCGAAGTCGGACACTTAACCGACTGAGCCACTCAGGCGCCCCAAGGAGTTGCATTTAGAGGTAACCGGAGCCAGATTACCTAGCATCTCATAGGTGACTATGAAATTTTTGACTTGTATTCTGAGAGAGGTGAGAAGACATTAGAAATTTTGAACAAAGTCTAACGTTGTAAAGAAACACTCCTCCTGATGCAGAGGACAAGCACAGAGGTGGGGAGGATGGACAGAAGGTTATGGCCACAAACCAGGCAAGAGATGGTGGTGGCAGGGACCAGTGGAGGGGTGCTTACTGGCTGGATTCTGGTTATGCCATGAAAATCTTTCCAGAGTTTAAACAGAGTCCAAGCATATGCTAGTATATGGATATACTGATAGGTTCTATCCAGTAGGGTTTTCAAGGTCAGCAAAAGACCTTGGTCAAGAACAGTCAAAGCAAAATGAATAGCGTCTTTTATCCAGAGCAATAGGAGTGAAGAGCAGAAAAAGCTACCATAAAGAAGCCCTAAGTCTTATGAATAGAGATTTTAAATAACGTATTAGTGTTCATGGTCCAAAAATTAATCAAAGTTAAACTTGATCACATTGGTCATTGTGTTTATCGCATGTATTTCAACAATGGGGTTCCTTTTTTTCCCCTGAACTTAAGTCCACAAACTATTTTGAAATGCATGCCAGTTATTTCCAGAATGCAGAACTGTTTAAAGGTCGTGGGTATTATTCAGCAGAGCTACTGAGGGCCCAGCACATAAGAAAGAACAAATAGTTCCCCAGTTATCGGTACGATGAATATATGGTTCTCTGTGGGTCTGAGGAAAAGAGTGGATTTCAAGTTGTCATTCATTATTAACTTTAAAAAGAGGCCTTGCTGCTTACCAAATCAGAGAAAGAGGGAAAGAACCTGGGGCAGAAATCCAGTCCATCTGACCCCTTGAATATAGCTGAGGCATATTCACTGAGGCGAATTCACTCCTTCACACTGAGGCAGTCTGGGACACCAGTTTTTAAACACTTTTTGGAAGCAGAATAAGGAACATGTGGCCCTTCACTCTACCAAGACCTGCCTGAAGAAAAAGGTCTCAGCCCATTTATCATTACTGCGTGCCTCACAAGGAGCCTGGGCGACAGCACAGGCTCAGTAAACATTCATTTGAGTGAATAAACAAAGGAATGAATGGCCAAATTTTTGCTGACAGCATTTTATCCTTTTCTGGAATAAGTATTATAAGTGAAGAATAACACATTGTGATTTTATAATAGGCCCCTTAGGTCATCCAGACCTGACTTCTCCCCTTACTCAGTCACTACCTGCTATAGAGATGGTCAGGTTCTTTGAGCTCATGTCTCATTTTCTTCCTCTGTAATATCAGGATAATAACACCGACCTTCTGGGCTTGTCGTGAGGATTGGCTAAAATAACACATGGAAAGAATTTAACACAGTGCCCCGAAGTTATTAGTTTCTGTTATCAACACTAAACTGGCATTCATTACCAAAAGAAGTTTATAAAGATGGCATCTTATAGATTAACTTTTAAAATCCTTTTCCTTTTGTTATGAAAAACTTCAAATATATGTAAAAGTAGAAAGTGGGGTAGCTGGGTAGCTCATTTGGTTAAGCGACTGACTTTGGTCATGATCTCGTGGTTCATGAGTTCAAACCCCATGTCAGGCTCCGTGCTGAGAGCTCAGAGCCTGGAGCCTGCTTCAGATTCTGTGTCTCCCTCTCTCCCTGCCCCTCCCCTGCTCATGCTCTCTCTGTCTCTCAAAAATAAATAAACATTAAAAACGATTTTTAAAGCAGAAAGCATAATGAATCTCTGTGTATCCAATATCTAGGGTCAATAATTTTAAGCTGGTGGCTGATTGGTAACCCTCTTCCTGACCCCTTGATTATTTTGAAGTGAATTCCAGGCATTATATCATGTTATCTGTAATAGTTCAGTATGTATTTCGTAATAATAACCAAAATCCCATATCACACTTAAAAATAATTAATAATGATGTCTCAGTTAGGTGAGTTGTTGGTCTGCTGAAAGTCACGAGGGAAAAAGAATCAGGTCTGTCCAAGGCAGGGGCTTAGACAAGTTCTCTCCAGACACAGTGTGATGGAGGCACCCACTGTCATTGTTAAGGCAGATTCTTCCGCCGATGGGCTAGAGGTGGTGAGAATAGGGGTGAAGGTGGGGAATGCATTGGGAGTCAACATTTCATGCTTGAAGCAAAGTGGAGCAGAGATCTCGTATTATCTGTAATTTTCTTACTTCCTAAAGCAAATGTCATTTCATTTGAAATAATTCTGTACTGGGGCAGCTGGGTGACTCAGTTGGTAAAGCATCTGACTTTGGCTCAGGTCATGATCTCACAGTTCGTGAGTTCAAGCCCTGCGCCTGGCTCTTGTGCTGACAGCTCAGAGCCTGGAGCCTCCTTCTGATTCAGTGTCTCCCTCTCTCTTTTCCCCTCCCCGGCTTGCACTCTGTCTCTCTCCGTCTCTCAAAAATAAACAAACATTAAAAAAAATTTTTTTAAGAAATAATTCTGTACAAATTCTGTTTCCAAATTGGTAGGATTTTAGAATTTAATTTTATCTTCTCATCTATGCTGACTATGATTTTTTTTTTTCAAATTCTGTTTCCAAATTGGTAGGATTTTAGAATTTAATTTTATCTTCTCATCTATGCAGACTATGAGATTATGATATCAAATTCTGTTTCTAATTTGGTAGGATTTTAGAATTTAATTTTATCTTCTCATCTATGCAGACTATGAGATTATGATATCACACAACTAGTGAGCTCATTGAACGGTGGTAACAATTAACACTGGTTTGGTTTCTGTAATTTAACGTAGCACAAAAGTTCACACATCTTTGAGAGAATTCTGTTCTTAGTATATTCTGTGCTTTTGCCCCTTCCCCTCAAATTGTTCCTTATTTGTTTTACAGTGTCAGTAACCCAGTAGAAACCCCAATTTTATTCTCTGCTGCACTAGTTAAACCTTGAATTAAAATATTTTTCTTGTTTTCTTAACTAGAATTTGGAGCAATTGGGTTGCATCAAAACAAGAGCATTGGTGTTGAAGGTATTGAACATCAGGAGTTCAAACACAGGTTATCACCCCCACCCCCGCTTAAAAGCCAAGATTAATGCAAAGTCTAGAGCTTGCTGGGTAATGTCAGCAAGTAAGTAGATACTGCTAAGAGCCCTGGAATTCAGGGAGCACCAAGAGCATACAAAGGGAGCCTAAAATTGGTTTCATGTTTCTTCTTTGAAAGCCTTGTTTCGCTTATGAGCAGTGGAAAAATCCACCCCTGGAGGGGGTGGGGGAGAGTGGTCTCCTCACAGCATGAAGTCGGACACAGCATGGAGGTGCTGGGAAATCTGGCATGATCTTCACAAACCCCTCCACACAGCTCTGGCAGTTCCATCTACTTCCCTTTAGAAGTAATCTTTGGAAGGCAGGGGTAGCATCTACCTTAATCACTGCTGTACCCTTGCTGCTGAGAATAATTCCTGACACGTGATAAGGCAGCAAATGTTTGTTCAGTTTACTGAGTGACTGATTGGATGAGAACTGCTTAGCAGCCATCCCTGGTAGTTACTAAAGAGGCTGTTCTACCAAGAACTTAAAAGAGACTAAGAAGACATTTCCTCTTTTGACCTAAAATCCTAATTAAAAAAAAAAATTTATGGCTTTCTTTGTGTGCTTTCATGTATTATTCTAGTTCCTCTCAAAGCATGTGGTTGAAAAGATTGGCGAGAAAAATGAGTGTAATGAATCATAGGCAAGGAGCACAGATGACCTAGTTTGATCAGATTTCAAAGAAGATATGAAAAAGATAGAACGTAGCTCAGAACGATGGCTCTCCACACTCAACCTTTTAAGGACTCATGTAGCCTGACAGCTCAAAATCTTTATCAGCTTGCTGGAAACAGAGGATGGGCATGAGAAAGGAAGAGCATGAGTCGCATGGGGCCCAGGCCCATCATGGATTGGGAAGACTGACCAGTAGAGCAGGGAGCCCAGTGGAGAGCCAGAGGTGTGGAGGCTATGAGGTACCAGGGAGGCTAGTCAGAGAGCTTCCAAGGAGGAAGAAAAGGGAGGATCTCCAACAGACCCTATCAGCTCGAACCACTGCTGGGAGCCCAGAGAGCTATACCTGCCAAGTACAATTCTCAGGGATCACTCTGTCAGCCAAGTCCTGGTGGCTGGCAGCCTCTCTGGCTCCCGAGGCTAGATCCCCTGAAGGCTCACAAATTGTGTTACTCCCTCACCTTTGAGTGCCTTGCACAATTTCTGCCCTATCCTGCCTTCCGTTCAACCAATCCTCAGTGTTCTGCCTTTTCAAAGCTAAGTAAGTCCCAGTCCCAACAAAAACAAGCTGCCACACTGAAGTGACTTAGAGCAAATGCCTTTTGGTGATTTTTATGCTACTACAAGAACCCTAAAATAGTAAGGAATATAGCGTATTAACAAAATGAAATTGTAGTTCCTTCAAGGAACCGGTTAAACCCACGAGGGGATGTCCAGCATGCGGACTCTACAGTTTCCTCTTCTGTCCAGAGCTGTGCTCTCATTGAGGGCAACACCGGTGGTCTGACCAGTCACCCTGCAGCCATGACGCCTAAACATTGCTCTCTAGGCTTCCTCATCAGTTTCTTCCTGACTGTAGTGGGTAAGTGCTCCATTTCTTTTTTATTGTTCATGGCTTTGTCGTCTGAGTCTGCTCCAGGGACTGTTAGAAATGGCACAAGTGCTTCTCTGGGCTTTGTAAAAAATGTCAGCTTTCTTCTGTCGTGGAATGATCCAAACAGACATGGGGTCAATTTCTGTCTGCAGCCTGAATAACTCCACGTGGCCTTAATAAGTAGCTCCTAAAGAGGAGGCATACGAGAAACTTCACACAGGACAAATGGACATCCATCTCTCTGTCTCCTTAGCACTTCCTTTGCCCTCAAGGAACACTGTGGCATGGTGTTTTTGAGCAGCCTCCTGAGCCAGACTGCCTGAGCCTGGATCTCAGCTCTGTCATTTGCCATCTAGAAAACCTGGGGTGATTGACTTGACCCCCTGTGCCTCTACTTCCTCATCTGTAGAATGGGGATTGTAAGTCACTGTGAGGACTGGATCAGTTAATATACACTAAGTGCTTAGAGCAGTGCCTGGCACAGTATAGATGCCACAAACTACATGTAAGAATTTGCTGTTGGTCTTCACAGAGAACTTTCCAAGAGCAGAGAACATCTGCTTATCCCATGATACCTCTGATCAAAGTCATCAAAACCCCAAGTTAACAGGTACCTCTCAGTATCAGTGGCTCAAGTAACTTTCCCAAGACTAGAGTTGCTCAGTGACTGATAACATAAAAACAATTCAATCCTTCGTCTTTCAGAAATGTGTGGATTTGAGTACAGGATACCTTTGGTCTGCAGCAATAGCAAGGACTTGTTTAGCAAAATACAGCAGGAATTCAAGCACTGCCAAAATGATTCTGGCTCTACATGTTACCAGACCTGTAATTTTGGGCAAGATCCACAACGTCTTTAAGCCTCAGCTTCCCCATGTGTAACATGTACTAATAAAAATGCCTACCTTATTAGGTGGTTGTGAATATGAAATGAGACGTAAAGCTTTCAGCACCGTGTCTGATAAATGGTTAATGTTTGTACATGTCCAGTGATCAGCGAATGCCAGCCAGAAGGAGGGGGAGGGAAAAAGGAGGGGAAAGAATATCCTCAGGCTCTCAGGTTTTTTTTTTTTCCCTACCATTAACTTCTCTCTCCTGAGGCTTTGCTCTTGGTTTCTGTGGTGGGTGACAGGCAGGTCTTGCAGTCAGATGCTTGGGTACAAAAACAGCCTCACCGATTTTGTCTGTAAGAGGGAGACTGCAATAGTGCCTTTCTCATAGAAGAGCTGGGCAGTTTACATGAGTTAATGCAGGTGCAAGCCTGCAGTGCCCACTACTGAGATTTGCTATTATTGGTGGTGGTGGTGGAGGTGGTGTTACGAAAGTGAGAAAAAAAAAATGCAGAGATGGAGGAGATAAAGGACATTGAGTTGACACTCTTCAGGGTGGTAGATCAGCCTTAGGCTCAGGCTCCAGGAAATTGTGTTCATCATGTTCTAGGACTTCTGGAATGTTTATGTACTACCTAGGATCGATCCAGTAGTGATTTTGGTGAGAAAAATCAACGGTGGCAGTAGCCTCTTACCATGAACACATCACCATTTGATGCACTGAAGAAGTTCCAAAAAATAAATATAAAAGCAAAAAAAAAAACCCAAACAAACAGTATTTGGTTGGTAAAAATAAATACCTAAGGAAACAGCCTCCTTTAGTAGGATACAACAAATCTTAAATGTTCAGAGCTGAGATCATGGGCTCAGGGCTCAGAAGTATGTTCTGACATCTCAATGATTTTTGAGCAAACACTTGAAGGAGGTAAAGAAATGAGGCATGCGGAATTCCAAGGGAGAAGCAAGGCCAGTGCCAAGATCCTGGGGCGGGACCACACCCAACAGAGGCAAGCAGGAGCCAGGAGGCCACCCTGGAGAAGGGGGGTTTGTGGCGGAAGATGGACTCTGGGAAAAGACCAGGATATACTTCCTGACGTCCTCTCTTTCTGCCCGACTTCCTCTCCCTGATCAGAAACTTTGCACTTGGTGGGAGGCAAAACTTCATGTCTGTCCAACTTAGACTGTCAGCTGGTTAACGAAAAGGCAGATTAACAAGAGAAAAACAAATCATTCATTAATACATGCAGCGAGCACACACCACAAGGGAGGAACCTAAATAACTCAAAGGGCAGTTTAGCGTTCCAGCTCATCTAGCATCTTCAAAGAACAACACATTTGCAGGCATGTGACAGGACACATGACAGCAATTTTAGGCTTCCATGGGCTGCAGACTGTGGTAAGGGGAATAAACACATGGGAGGAAACTAATGGAAGAAAGTTTGTTCGCAGATTCCTCTGGTGCCATTCTGGGCTGATAAGCCCGTCTCCAGTAAAAAGAGAATGTATACTTGCCTTTAGGCAGAAAAGGGAGAAGGTTTTCCTGTGTTTGCTCCTTCTTAAGTGCCTTCAGCTCACAATATTTTTTTATGTCAAAGAGGCATATTTTAGTGACTTATTCTAGTTTCCTTCAGACTCCGGAATAAAATTTTGTCAAGATCTCTTGCTTCCACAGGACTGAATGCAGGTGAGATTGGGTCACTCATTCAATGATTTGAGGAGGAAAGCACAAGCTACGCCAGTACGCAGTGATCCCCTCTCCTGCCACAATTATTGTCATGACTCTCTTCAGAAGACAACAGGGACTTGTGCAGTCTCCCTTGAAAGCATGGACAGGTTCATCTCAGCAGTTATGGTTAGGTCCCTGAACATACGTTGCAAGCTGGTGAGTGCAGCCATTCAGGACCAGGTGGCAAAGCCTCACCCGCCTGCAAGAAAGCCACATCATCTGCTAGAGGTTAAAGGCCAATGAGACAAGACCCGGAGACTGAGAAAGAACCTGAGAAAGGAGAAACCGAGTTCTGGGCTAAGTTCCTAGGGCCAAAATTGATCCCAGGCCAGATTTCACCTTAGTGTAGCAATAACATAATGGCTCCTAGGAAGGTGGGTGATTTCTTAATAAAAACCCTCAAGGAAGTTGGTACAGTAGGAACATAGCTAAACATCATAAAAGCCATATATGGAAAGCCCACAGCTAATATCAATCTCAATGGGGAAAAACTGAGAGCTTGCTCCCTAAGATCAGGAACACGGCAGGGATGTCCACTCTCACCACTGTTGTTTAACGTAGTGTTGGGAGTCCTAGCATCAGCAATCAGACAACAAAATGAAATAAAGGGCATCAAAACTGACAAAGAAGAAGTAAAACTTTCACTTTTTGCAGACAGCAATGATAACTCTACATAGAATACCCAAAGGACTCCACCAAAAGGCTGCTAAACTGATGCATGAATTCAGCAAAGTTGCAGGGCACAAAATGTACAGGAATCAGTTGTATTTGTGTACACCAACAATGAAGCAACAGAAAGAGAAATCAAGAAATTGATGCCATTTACAATTGCACCAAGAACCATAAAATACCTAGGAATAAACCTAATCAGAGATGTACAAGATCTGCATGCTGAAAACTATAGAAAACTTATTAAGGAAATTGAAGAAGACACAAAGAAATGGAAAAACATTCCATGCTCATGGATTGGAAAAATAAATATTGTTAAAATGTCAATACTACCCAAAGCAATCTACACATTCAATGAAATCTCAATCAAAATTGCACCAGCATTTTCTCAAAGCTAGAACAACCAATCTTAAAATGTGTATGGAACCACAAAAGACCCTGAATAGCCAAAGTAATGTTGAAAAAAAAAAAGCCAAAGGGGGAGGCATCACAAACCCAGACTTTAGCCTCTACTACAAAGCCGTAATCATCAAGACAGTATAGTATTGGCACAAAAAAAGACACATAGACCAATGGAACAGAATAGAGAACCCAGAACTGGAGCCACAAATGTATGGCCAACTAATCTTTGACAAAGCAGGAGAGCATCCAATGGAAAAAGACAGTCTTTTTAGCAAATGGTGCTGGGAGAACTAGACAGAAACATGCAGAAGAATGAAACTAGACTAGTTTTTTTTTTTTTTTTTTTTTTTTACACCATACACAAAACTAAACTCAAAATGGATGAAAGACCTGAATGTGAGACAGGAAACCATCAAAACCCTAGAAGAGAAAGCAAGCAACAACCTCTTTGACCTCAGCCACAGCAATTTCTTGCTCAACACATCTCCAAAGGCAAGGGAATTAAAAGCAAAAATGAACTATTGGGACCTCATCAAGATAAAAACTTCTGCACGGTGAAGGAAAAATCAGAAAAACTAAAGGCCAACCAAAGGAATAGGAAAAGATATTTGCAAATGACACATCAGATAAAGGGTTAATATCCAAAATCTATAAAGAATTTACCAAACTCAACACCCCCAAAACAAATAATCCAGGGAAGAAATGGGCGGAAGACATGAATAGATACTTTTCCAAAGAAGACATCCAGATGGCCAACAGACACATGAAAAGATGCCCAGCGTCACTCATCATCAGGCAAATACAAATCAAAACCAGGCTGAGAATCTACCTCACACCGGTCAGAGTGGCTAAAATTAACAACTCTGGAAGCAACAGATGCTGACGAGGATGTGGAGCAACAGGAACCCTCTTGCACTGTTGATAGGAATGCAAATTGGTGCAGCAACTCTGGAAAACAGTGTGGAGGTTCCTCAAAAAATTAAAAATAGAACTGCCTTACGACCCAGCAATAACACTACTAAGAATTTATCCAAAGGATACAGGAGTGCTGATTCGTAGGGGTACACATGTATCCCAATGTTTATAGCAACACTTTCAACAATAGCCAAATTATGGAAAGAGCCCAAATGTCCGTCAACTGATGAATGGATAAAGATGTGGTTTATATGTACAATGGAATACTACTCAGCAATGAGACAGAATGAATCTTGCCATTTGCAGCAACGTGGATAGAACTGGGAGGTATTATGCTGAGTGAAATAAGTCAGTCAGAGAAAGACAGATATCGTATGTTTTCACTCATACGTGGATCTTAAGAAACTTAACAGAAGACCATGGGGGAAGGCAAGGGGAACAAAATAGTTACAAACAGAGAGAGAGGGAGACAAACCGTAAGAGACTCTTAAGTACAGATAATAAACTGAGTGGGGTGAGGGGGATGGGGGAAAGGAGAAAATGGGTGATGGGCATTGAGGAGGGCATTTGTTGGGATGTGCACTGGGTATTGTATGGAAGTGATGAACCAAGAGAATCTACCCCCAAAACCAAGAGCACACTTTACACACTGTATGTTAGTCAATTTGACAATAAATAAATAGAATAAAATAATATAATATAATATAATATAAAATAAAATGGAAGGTGGCCTTGGTGTGGGCTTTTCATCTTGGTCATTATATTCCATCACCATCATAGAAGGAACTGAGGACAATATTTCTTTTTACTGCTATTTACTTCCTCTGGAGCTTGGGAATGGGGTGGGAGGATATCCTTTATGTTTATGTAGTCCGGAACACAGTTGTTCTGAAACTTCAGTGTGTGTAAACCTTGTCACATTCAAGATCCAAAATGTCGACTTCCAGGCTCCACCTCCACCGTCTACACTTACAGCAATTACTTTAGGAAATCCTGATGCAGATATTCCATTGAAAAGAATTGCTAATAACAATAGTGCCTGTATCAGTGTTCATTGTTTTTCCTTCCCTTTTTATTCTAGAAACCCAGTCAGCCCATGAGTCTCTGATGCCTCAGCGAGTACATTTTCGATCTCAAAATTTTCACAACATTTTGCACTGGCAGCCTGGGAGGGCTTGTACCAGCAATAGCAGTATCTATTTTGTGCAATATAAAATGTAAGTAATTTGAGCTTCCTCCAGCTGATGGAGATGGTCACTAGAATTTCATGTTCTAGAATGCAGTGGAGTGTGAGGATCTTTTTCTCAGTTTCAGAGAGGTTGAGAAGAAGTAGAAGTGGGGGCAGGCGTGTCATGTCTCCTTGAAGGCTGCCTGGGGACACAAAATGCATGATGATGTGAGTCTGTTGGGGGAGATGTTTCATCCCTTGGAGACCCAGCACCGGGATCTTACAGGCTGAGCCTTCAGTTTCACAATGGAGCCTGGCACATCGAGGCCTCTCAGGATACATTTGCCTAGTGAATGCTGGAAGCAAATTGGTTAGCACATAGTAGGTACTCAACTAAGGTGATGCTATTGATAATTGAAGAACAAGCCGTGGGACATGAGTGTCCAAAATACATTTTTTAATTTAAAAGCCATTTTTGAAAATTTAGAAAATTCTTTGCAAAAACGAATGGCTCCTATAAGCAGGAACACAGACCAGAGCACGCTGCTGCATGCCCCTCTCTAGGCTCCTCAGGCTGTTGCTGGTGGATCATTATCAAAACCCAGATATAATCAACTCCTTTCCTGGATCCAGGCCTGGAAACAGAAGCTCCTGATATGCAAATGGTGGGTTTTCCCACTCGTACATTTCTTGGGGTTTTCTGGGCCTCCTCCTCCTCCTCTTTCATAGTTTAAGATGCTGGCTGAGACATACTGAGACAGGAGATATTGCACTTTCGCTCTCATGATTTTCTTCCTTAGAAATTCAGAACATCAGATGTAGCTGTGGATCAAACTCTCAATTTTTATTCCATCAATTCCTCCATGTCTCTCTGGCATGGGGGTAGGCTCAAGGTCAGATCTTCCCATTAATTAATCTCTTGCTCCCTTCACAAGATCTATTTCCAGAAGTTTCTCAGTCTCTAACTACTGCTGCTTTTCTCAACATATTTTGTGTAGCAGCTGCAAAATTTATGCATCTTTATAATAAAAACTCCATCCCCAAAGGAGATTTGTGCATAGTTGAATATAGGGATGGGTTTTTTTTTTTTTTATATACTTCCACCTTATGCAGTATAAATAGAGCCTGTTTATGGTCTAGTATTGAAAGTAGATTAGAACTTGTTTTACCATGAAACTAATGAAGATTAACGTTTAAGTTCCCATGGGAGGATTTTATATTTGTAATGTTTTTTCTTAAAGAATACCCCCAAACTTGTATGGGATTCAGAATGCCTGGATCCATTCCTCTTTATATGGTATTTTCAAGAGCACAATGCAGATTTATATTTTTGAAATCTTTCACTTTGGTGCTATTCCATTCATGTGGGGCTACTGTTAATATATGTCCTATTGGGACAGAACAACAACAACAAAAAAGAGCTATCACATTAAGAGAGAAGCCAGCCACAACAGCTAAATGTAGATAGCAAAGACAATGTCCCAACAATAAATAACAATTAAAAGACATCAAAACTGTACTCAATATATGTTACGGTTATGCTCTAATGGTGTCCTTTGATAAAATGCAACTGCTGCCATTATATAGTTTACAGAGTATAGATGCCAGAAGTATTCCTCATTGTATGGCCAGAAAGCTAGATTTCAAGTCTTTTCACAAATATTTTGGGAAGACTTTCACCCCAGCTTCTAATTTCCACTCTGTTTCCACCATCATCTTCTTGTGTCTTTTCTGAATTGTGACAGAAAAAGAAGGGAAGCTTTAATCTTCCCTTTTGCTGTTACACCATCCCATAGTCTTGGGCTGAGTCAACCTATCTGTTTCTTTGTCTCAGACCTTTCCTTCATGGTCTCCCCTCCCTCACATCTAGTTCCTCCTTCCAGGATTCCCTCACTACAACCTCTGCCCCATTTTCAACAAAAAGATTGACCAGATGTGTTGGGTAAGCAATACCTGAGATAAAAAAGTGGTAGCAACTTCTCAGAATTGGCCACATTACTCAACAGCAGGCTGATGAGAAGTGAAGAAAACCACAGGGTTGAAACCTCAGAAGCATTAAGGATGTGGGAAGCTAGTACTCAAAGTGGAAGTTCGTTCATATACTAGAAGAATAACTTCACTAAGTATTAAAAACCCCCAAATCCCTTTGCTATGGATACAGAGGTGTTTTTCTTTCACCAAGATAGCACTTTGATTAATAAGAATAAAAGATTTGTAAAAGGTACTTGAGAGTAGCCATAAGCTTTCACAGGGGTGCTGATGTTGGAGGACAGAGCTCAACCAGTCTAAAATATTCCTAGACTGAAAAAATGGATGATTCCTTCAATGGGAAGGAAAAAAACACCTCAGATCTTTGTCTTTTCCTTCTCTAGGTATGGACAGAGACAATGGAAAAATAAAGAGGACTGTTGGGGTATTCTCGAATCCTTTTGTGACCTTACTAATGAAACATCAGATATACAGGAGCCTTACTATGGGAGGGTAAGGACCATCTCAGCTGGGATCCGCTCAGACTGGACCATGACACAGCGCTTCACTCCCTGGTGGGAAAGTGAGTTCCATGGAGTTCCTTTGCATTTGCTCTTCCCAACCCCGAGGAGTCCCATAGAGCAGGCCCTATGTTTGCTCAGGTCTGCACCATCATCTCCTTTGATCCAATTCTCAGAACAACCCAAGAAGATGACTTTTACTATCTTTTTTTTATAGCCCATAAACCCAAGGCACAGAGGCTTCAGTAGGTGGCCAGGTCTCACAGCCCATACAACCCAAGTTAGGATTCCATTCTACTGCATCTGACTGCAGAACCCACAGTCTAGACTGCTACCCGATTGTTACCTGCTAGGAAAAAAGTCGTTTTAAACAGTAGGAAAGGAGTCATAATGCTGTAGTCCTTTCTTGAGCATAGGAAGTAAGTTCTTTAAAATACTCTTCAGAAGGATTTTCTGTTGAGGAAATTAAAACTTTAGTCATTTCCCCAAAGGGAAGACCAAAAGTTTGCTCTTGTATCCATTCCTCAATGACATATATTCTTTTTCTCAGTCATAATCCTAGAATAATATAATATAAAATATAAGTTTAAGAAACCATGACCAACAGACCTTATGTAAAATAATAAACAAAAGGAAAAGAGTAAAAAGAAAGTGTTTAATCTATATGTACAAAAATATGCATACAAAGCAAGAAGGAAAGTATAGATATTTACCACAGTCCTCATAACTGTGATTAATCATGTAGCTGTAGTTAGTATTTATAACTTCTCTCTCATTATTAACTCAACATTTGCTTTCTTTCCAGGTAGTACCTCAGCTCCTCACTCTTGAGGAGTTTAAGTCCTTTTAATCTTTACTATATTAGTTTAACATAATCTTACATTGATTTTTATCACTGAATGTAAGAGTTCTAAGAGGCACCCCAGGTGACACCAAGCATACTTTTACCTGACCCTGTTGTATATATAGCAACTCTGCTTCCCCTAGATAGTCAGAACCAATTGCCCTAAACAACACAAGGATCTTATTTTTTCCTTGTTGGTTAGATGGCATGAAGAGCTCAAACAAGAGGAGGCCTCAATTTCCAATTTTTTTAAACCATTGTTGTTATAATCAAGTATATGGGAAACAAGCCATTTCATGAGTTGTTCATCATGTTTAACCATGAGAATTGCCCCTCCCATTTCCACTTCTTATATCCTAGATCAGTAAGTGCTGTCTATGGAAGAAATAGCACCATATGTTGGTCACAAGAATATACTAGTTCATGTTCAACTTCACAAGATGCTCTCAAACTGAGTTTTCAATTAGCCACTTTATCTTCCTTTTATAAAAGCAAGAGTTTCTAAGTGATGAGATATATCAGAAGGTCAAATACTCCTGTGGGTATGAGATTGACTTCACCTCTTCCATATTAACTTAATTCTTCTGTCATAAGCAATGTATCATCAGGTACTATGTTCATGAATGAGGCATTCATTACATTCATGGTGGGGTAGTCAGAGGGACTGCAGATAAAAGCATTGAAGCAGAGAAGACAAATCTATAATCAGCAAACTGTCTATTCCCCTGTCCCTTTCCCCTCCCTGTTGGAAGGGATAAAATAGGTAGGTAGGTAGGTAGGTAGGTAGACAGACAGATAGATAGATAGACAGACAGACAGACACAGATAGAGATAGAGATAGATAGAGATAAAGATAGAGATAGAGATGATAGAGATGATAGAGATAGAGATAGAGATAGAGATAGAGATGATAGAGATATGTATACTATATAAAGTGAACTATACTGGTCCTCTTCTACAAGGAAGTTGGATATTCAGTGTATCAGTTCAGCTTTGAAAAAGGAGGTCCATATTGTTGAATCTGTATAAAGCCTCCATTCCTTTCACACAACCATTTTGTTCATAAGCCTATGGAGCAAGTATGAAACACTGGGGAAATAAGTTTTCACTGCCTCCATCTAGATTTTTTAAAACAATTTTATTGAGATATAATGGGTACCCCTTATAATTACCTATATAATGTGTATGATTCAGTGGTTTTTAGTATATTCACAGATATTACAACCATCACCTACCATCAATTTTAGAACATTATCATCACCTCAAAAAGAAATGCCCTACTCTTTAGCTATGACCATCCTATTCTCTCATTTCTCCAGCCCCTCAGCCCAAGGCAATGACTAATCTACTTTCTATATGTATAAAGTTCTCTGTTCTGGACATTACACATGAATGGAATCATATATTATGTGATCTTTTGTGACTGGCCACTTTCACTCAGCATCATGTTTTTAAGGTTCATTCATGTTGTATTGTGTATCAGTACTTCACTTCTTTTGTGGCTGAATAATATTCCAGTACAAGAATATGTCACATTTTGTTTATCCATTCCTCAGGTGATAGATATCTGAATTGTTATTACATTTTAGCTATGATAGTGTTTCTATAAACATTCATACACAAGTTTGCGTGGAAACAAATAGTTTTATTTCTTGTAGGTATATACACAGGAGTAGAATCCCTAGATCTCATATTAACTTTATGTTTAATCATTTGATAAACTGCTATACTGTTTTCCAAAGCAGCTGCACCATTTTACGTTCCCATCAGCAGTGTATGAGGGTCCTGATTTCTTCACATCCTTAGCAACACATACCTGACCTTTTGATATAGCTGTCTTAGTGGGTATGAAGTGATAGCTCATGTGGCTTTGATTTGCATTTCCCTGATGATTAATGGTGTTGAGTGTCATTTCATGTGCTTATAGGCCATTTGTGTATCTCTCTTGGAGAATTATATATTTAGCTCCTTTGCCCATTTTTAAATTGGCTTACTTATCTTTTTATTATTGAGTTGTAAGAGCTCTTAATTTATTATGGATACCAGTCCTTAGTCAGATATATGATTTTCAAATATTTTCTCCCATTCTGTGGTTTGTCTTTTCACTTTCTTGATGGAGCGATTTGAAGCACACATTTTTAAAATTTTGATGAAATCAATCTATTTTTTTCCCTGTTGCTCATGCTTTTGGTGTAATATCTACAAATCCTTTGCCAAATCTAAGCCTATGGAGGTTTATCTGATGTTTTTTGAAGAGTTTTATAGTTTTAGCTCTTACATTTTGATCTTTGATCCATTGAGTTTGTTTTTATGTATGGTGTGAGGTAAGGGTCCACCTTCATTCTTTTATAAATGGCTAGCCAGTTGTTCCAGTGTCATTTGTTGGAAAGGCTATTCTTTTCCCTTTGAATGATCTTGGTGCTCTTGGTGAAAATAAGCTAATCATAGACCTGTGGGTTTATTTTTAGACTCTCACTTTGGTTTCAATGTTCTATACATAAATCTTTGTGCCAGTACCACACTATCTTAATTTCTGTTGCTTTGTAGCAAACTTTGAAATTGAAAAGTATGAGCCCTCCCACTTTGTTCTCCTGTTTCAAGATTGTTTTGGTTATTCTGGGTCCCTTGCAATTTCATATCCACCTAGATTTTTGAAAGCTTCCTTTTGGTGGGTGGATTTTACTTTGCATTCACATGGACATAGAAATCTTTGCTTCAGAGTCCATCCACATACCTCTTCTCCAGACCTCCTGCCCCCAACTGAGTGTGTATAATGCTGTAGCAGTCCACTTCTGGCCAGCGCCATCATGTCATGCAGAACCTTCTGGGAAGCAGGCTTTTTTTCTTTTTTCTTCTTAAATTAACTAGTCATAGGGGACTCTTCAAGATGCCATAACTATAGAGGAAGAAGAAATGATCAGACAGTATGTGTAGTTGTGCGGAAAGGACAGACCACCTACTTTTGTAAATTCATTTGATGCTAAGACCTGCTAGAGGCTAAACTCCTATAATCTGTTTCCACTTGCTGTTGTCATGTTTTTGTGCATTTTATGACTTTCTGTATCAGAGGACACCCAGCTTATGATAGGAAACTCAGACCACATGGCTCCTTGGTATCTTTTGATTCAAGCATTCATTTTCCATCAGGGCTCAGTGACAAGGAAGTCTGAAGTTTTTTTTTCAAAAGAAACATAGTTTTTTTCTAAAGAGGGTATGACTTTGTTCCAAGAAATCCAGGTACTTAGAATTGCCACAGTCTCCAAATAGCATCCTGATCTGCCACAGATATTTTGAAGATTGTTGGATTTTCTGGATCATAAAAGACAAGTAGTGACATCTTTCTCCTTTGCAACATGAACTAGTTGAGAAGTCTGTCATTTAGTCTGGGTCCTTCTCAAAGTTGAAAATCTTATGGGTTACTTTGTAAATGAGTAGCACAACTAAATGAAATATGTGTTTCCTACAAAATGCATAGAGGCCCAACAAACCAGTGAAACTTTCTTAGCAGTAGGGGATGCAAAATGAAACAACTTGTCTTTCACTTGAAAGGAAACATCTCAACAAACCCCAGAGGAAATATAACTCCAACATGTTTCTATAACATGTTTCCTACTAAAGCATCTATAGTGCCTAGGACATTAGGCATACCAAGTTCAAGCAATATCATGATATCTTGTGGTAAAAAGATCAGAGACTCTGTAGACTATATGTGATAGAGGCCCACACGACTATGAAAGCCAAGTGAAAGGAAATTGTTCTGATGCTTTCTAATTATTGGACAAAAGAAGGAAAAAATTCTCCAACCAATAGCTATATTGATTGACTCGAAAACAGAGACACTGTAACTGAATAGCAGTTATACCATGGTCATCACCTAAGTACATTTACAATTATCCTTCTTATTATTTAAGATCTATGGTTTTGGGAGAGGAGGAAACAATTCAAATAGATGAGTTAAATGAGGGAAGTGGTACATTTCACTACCCCTGCATTTTTCAAAGTGTTTTTGATGCATAAATTTTGTCCAAAAGAAGAATTCCATTGGCTTCCACTTGACCTTTCATCCCATAATACCCTCCATGCCAATGAAATGGAAATAAACTTGGAAATGGATTCTGTCAGTTGTGGTGTATATCTTATTAAATTTACTTTTACTGCCTGACTACTGTAAGAATGCACTAAAAGAGGCATCTGAGTCCCCAGAAATTATTATCAACT